CACCATCTCCACAAGATGTTGCACTGGGGTCATTCCCCACATGGCAGCCAGGAATGCGACTTGAACATCACCTCAGTCTTCTCTGTGGGCGCAGCTTGATCGGAGGAAACTTCCCTACTGAGCACACGTGCCTACTACAGCCCATTACCCAGTGTGATCAGAAGGCGCTGTCCTGCTCCGTCGGAGACACTCTCTCTCTCTCTCTCTCTCTCTCGAGCATATCCGAACACCCCCGGCCCTCAGCTCTACCGATTGAGGCGCGCAGGGCTCCTTTTCATTGAGCCTACTTGACATGTACCCCATTCAGGGCCAGTTCGTGGAAACCTTTGACATGTGACGAACCAGGAACTCTCGGAACTCTCCAGTATAGGTTATTAGGCTCCCAAGCCGCACAGGAACAAGCAGGGAACCCTCTGCTGATTCATGATATTTGGAGGTTCAATGGTGCTTATAAGTAGGGTTACAAGGAGCCTAAATTCGGTTATAAGTATAGTTACCATACTTATATCCCTAAACCCTGAACCCTAAACCCAAAACACTACCTGTCAATGCCCATGAACCTCCATGTAAGGCTTGGAACACGAAGGTGGCAGCTTAAAACTCTAACTAAAACCCCTAAACCCTGAAACCCTGAAACCCTAAACCCGAAACCCTAAAACCATATATACACCCCTAAACCCCTAAACCCCTAAACCCCTAAAACCCTAAAACCCGAAAACCCTAAAACCCTAAAACCCTAAATCCTAAAACCCTAAAACCCTAAACCCTAAAACCCTACGCCCTAAACCCTAAAACCCTACGAGTAACACCCTAAACCGCAGGAAGGGGGCGATTGCGGCGGCCAGCGACAGTCGTCTGAACACAATGCATCCGCAGAGGAACCTGGAGGCTGAGTTTCGGAGGCTTTGGGCTGAGGGTTGGGGATTTCGGGTTTGAGGGTTTAGGGTTTTAGGGTTAGGGTTTTAGGGCTTTAGGGTTTAGGGTTGAGGGTTTGGGGTTTAGGGCTTCGGGTTTTAGGGCGCTGGAGGGCTTCTTCTGAAAGTACCTTTGGGAGGTCTTTACTCTTTGAGGTCGAGGCTGGAGAGCGCTCAGCCCTGGAACGCCAAACCCTACAACCCTACAAACCCTACAAACCCCACAAACCCTACAAGCCCTACATACCCTACAAACCCTACAAACCCTACGAGCCCTACAAACCCTACAAACTCTACAAACCCTACAAGCCCTACATACCCTACAAACAATGCAAACCCTAAACCCTAAGCCCTAAGCCCTAAGCCCTAAACCCTAAACCCCGAGTTGCGCACGCCACGGTCTGCCGAGCGGCAACGACGAGCCGCCTGGGTTCGTTTGCAATCCTTCTTTGAGGGTTGAGGGCTTTAAGGGAAATGGGGAGGGATTGTAGAAGGGTTTGGGGTTTGGGGTTTGGGGTTTAGGGTTTAGGGTTTAGGGTTTAGGGTTTAAGGTTTAGGGTTTAGGGTTTAGGGTTTAGGGATATAAGACCCTCAATCTGATTCCCACCCTGCATTACTAAGGGACCCTCCGGCAGTCCCTTGAGGGGTGAGCTAAACCCTAAACCCTAAACCCTAAACCCTAAACCCTAAACCCTAAACCCTAAACCCTAAACCCTAAACCCTAAACCCCCCCACGGTTTAGGGTTCAGCGTTCACAAGGCTTAGCGTTCAGGGCTTGGGGCAAGGCAGGCTCATCCTCTGCGAACCCCCGAAGGGGCCATGTACCTAATACTTAGAATAGGGTTCTTATAGCATAATTACAGAGGGACCATAAGGGAACACTGTCAGTAATTCCTCCCGCCCCTATCTTGTGTAGTAGACTTGGGACCCGTCGAGCCCCCAACCCGAAGCCCAAAACCAATCCCATCTGAGTCCCGCGCCCGGTAGGGAGGCGCAGCTGGGCATCATCGCGCCCGTGCAGCGCCTCGAATCCATCCCAAGGTGGGTTTGGGGGCCTCGGGGTGAGGGACCCCTGGTCCGGTTTAAGCTTTGTAGGTTTAAAGCAGAGTGGAGAGGGGGCAGGAGAGGCCTCCTAAGAGACCTAGGTAGAATGGGGGTTACAAAGTGGGTCTAGGAGACTAGGCCTCCGAGACGCCCAAAACCTCAAGCCCCGGACCCCAGCACCTTCACCCTGAACCCCAAACCCTAAACCCCCAAACCCGAAACCCCAAACTTCCCAAACCCTAAACCCCAAACCCCCAACAAGCAGGCCTCCGGCTCGTCGGCTGGCAGCTCGCTTCGAAAATCCGGGTTCGGAGACAAACGATGAGCTCTCTTCCACCATGCTGGAAGCGCGGCTCTCTGCAAAACTGTGCCTATTGTTGCGGGAGAGGCTGGAGGGGCTCTCTTCAAAAGTTGTGCCTATTCAATGGGCCTATTCTGGGGAAGAGGGTGGTTTTTTATTTGAGGTTTAGGGTTTAGGGCTTAGACTTTTTTGACTACTTGCCGCAGGGGACCCGAATGTAGGGCTAGCGCCCCGTGCAGTTAGGCTTGCACACGAGGGCAGGGTCCCCAAACGCCACCAAAAGCTCGGAGACTCTGCGCTGGCGTGTTTCGAGTGTTCGGTGAGTTCGGCTGGAGAACCCTATTTTTGAGGTTTTGTCGGATCAGCCCCAAAATCGCACCGGCCACCCTGCTCTTTCTCAAATGGCAACGTCGTTGGTTGAGGTGCCTTGAGCTATCTATACCCCAAACAGAATATATGTATAGACAAATATATGTGCATCAACCACGTCTTCGTGAGGAAGAAGATTTGGCTAAGCCTCATTTGAGCCCATGACGCCGGCACAAAGGTTGGGGCGGCCGAGGGTCCGAATCCGAGATCTTAAGTTCCAAGCCCCAAACCCTAACCCCCCTAACCCCCCTAACCCCCAAACCCTAGACCATCCTAGAGCCTGAACCCTAAACCCTAAACCTCCCAAACCATTCCCGAACTCCGGGGCGCGCGCGCGCGCGCGGCCGCGCGCAATCAAGGCCAAAAAGCTGGCACCGACTGCAAAGTGTCAGAGCCATCTGAATCCATTGATAGGGGTCCTTCAAGGAGGGGAGGTCCAAGGGGGTTTAGGGTTCCGGGTTTAGGGTTTAGGGTTTAGGGTTTAGGGTTTAGGGTTTAGGGTTTAGGGTTTAGGGTTTAGGGTTTAGGGTTTAGGGTTTAGGGTTTAGGGTTTAGGGTTCCCCACTACTCCCTAAGCTTCCCTAAAGTTCCCTAGGAACCTACCCTGCCACGAACCTCTCCTCCCTTCAGGCCCTGTAATCCGAACAAGGTTTTTGGGGCCTACTTGAAAGCCCAAACCTGAGCCGAAGCCGTAAAGTTGAGGGTTTAGGGTTTCGGGTTTGGGGTTTGGGGTTTAGGGCTTAGGGCTTAGGGTTTCGGGTTTCGGGTTTCGGGTTTAGGGTTTAGGGTTTAGGGCTTAGGGCTTAGGGCTTAGGGCCTAGGGCTTAGGGAAAGCCCTTGGAGGACATGCCCTGGGCAGCTTCTTTTTGGAAATGATGGCAGCATTGTCCGTCGCAGCGAAGGGCCCGGGATTTGGGGTCCTCAAGTCCGCCTTTCTGACATCTTGGGGTCTCCAAAAAAGCCTGTTTAGGGTTTGGGGTTCAGGGTTTAGGGCTTTCAGGATTCAGGGTTTAGGGGCGTTCAGGGTTTAGGGCTCAAGGCTTCCAGGGTTTAGGGCTTAGGGCCTTTTATGTCTCTTTGGGTCTGAGGGTTGAGGGGGCTCGGGTCCGGGTTTGGGGGGTTCTCCGGTTTCAGGCTTTAGCGTTTTTCGTGGGGTAGTCACATGGTCCCTTGATATGGAACCTGAAAAAAGGGGACCCTTTACATACCCCTTTATATACCCCAGACAAGCTAAGGGCCCACACACCAGAACCCTTTAAAGGAGGTAAGGGACCATATCAAGGGCCCACGTAACTACCCTTAGCTAGTGCTTGGGGCTTCGGATTCTAGGGTTTAGGGTTTGGGGTTTGGGGTTTAGGGTTTAGGGTTTAGGGCTTTAGAGTTTAGGGTTTAGGGATCTTCGGGAGTCTATGATTTGGACACCGCCGAAACCCTCCTCGGCTTCGCGGCCCTGGCTGGGCCCCCAACTCGGTTTGAGGGGTAGCCCTAAACGGTTTAGGGCAACCCTGAACACCCTAAACCCCAAACCCTCTTCCCTGAAAGCCCTAAGCCCGAACCCCTGAAAGCCCCAAGCCCTAAGCCCTAAGCCCTAAACCCTAAACCCTAAACCCTAAACCCTATGTAGCAACCCCCAGCTTCTCAACCTCAGGCCCAGGGGTTCCAGGTGGCGTCGGCAAAACAACAAAAGCCTCTATCTACACCAAGCCTAGGCTTAGAGTTTGGGGTCTAGGGTCTGGGGTTTGGGGTTTGGGGTTTGGGGTTTAGGGTTTAGGGTTGGTTTAGAACTAGGGTTCGGATGGATTCTTGGGGTTAGGGTCTAAGGCTTGGGGCTCGGGGGCTGGCATCTGAAACCTCAACCCCACACCTTTCGACCTCACCAGCCAGGCCCGGCTAAAGCCCTAAACCCTAAACCCTAAACCCCAAACCCTAAACCCTAAACCCCAAACCCTAAGCCCTAAACCCTGAACCCGAACCTATGATGATCTTGGGACTCGCCCCGGGCCGCAAGCCTCGAGGCCATGACTATGTGCAGGGGGTGCTCGTCTCCGATGCTTTCGGTGAGCTTGCTCCATTTGCCGTGCTTGGACGTTTAGGGTTTAGGGTTTGGGGTTTGGGGTTTAGGGTTTAGGGTTTAGGGTTTAGGGTTTAGGGTTTAGGGTTTAGGGTTTAGGTTTAGGGTTTTGGGTTTAGAGTTTAGCACCTAACCGACCCTTGCAACCCTACAATGAACATACCTTGATCTGATCGTAAGGCCAACGCCCCAACTCACCCTAGGACCTGAACCCTAAACCATAAACCCTAAACCCTCAACCCATTGACATCCCCGACGACCCAGAGAGTTGGGTGCCGGATGAATTCATGCAGACATCAACTCAGTCACCTGTTCGGAAAAAAGTTCTGGGAAGGCGGAGCTGTAGGGAAGGTACCAACCCTGAACCCTAAACCCTAAACCCTAAACTCTAAACCCCAAACCTACGTACCCTTTGTGCAGGATGCCTGAGCATCCTCCATAAGGGGATTCATTCAGAATAACCTTAAAAGGGAGGCTTCAGGTTATGCGGTCGGAGGCCAATTTGTATGCGGGAGGGTGGCTTAAAGCTTAGGGTTTAGGGTTTAGGGTTTAGGGTTTAGGGTTTAGGGTTTAGGGTTTAGGGTTTAGGGTTTAGGGTTTTAGGGGTTTGGCGGTTTAGGATTTGAACCCCAAGGCCAGTCAAGTCCAAGAGCGAGCCAACCTACATACTCGAGGAGCTTTGAGTCGTAGGGTTGGCAGATATTCAGGTATCTGACCTCTGGTCACCTTGCCCTCAACCCTAAGCCCTAAAACCTAAACCTAGACCCTAGACCCTACAAAGCCCGGAGCCCGAACCCCACACCTTCCAACAGCAGGGGCGTGAACGCGCTGTCCCTGGGCGGGCGGAGGCTGTCTGAGAATGCAGGACTTTGGGTTTTGGGGTTTAGGCACCCTAAACCCTAAACACTGAACCCTAAACCCTAAGTTCATATCTAAGGGAATTTACATGGTCCCTCAATATGGTCCCCTACCTTCCTTAAAGCGTTCTGACGGAAGGGCCCTTGCGTTTCAGAGGGTATATATGGGTTCCCCAATTAAAGGCACATACTAAGGGACCATGTAACTACCCTAAGATCAGGTTTTTAGGGTTTAGGGCTTGGGGCGTTTTGAAGGCCTGGTGGTTTTCAGAACACACACACACACACACACACACACACACTGACTGAACTCCTTTTGCGTAGGGGGGAAGCATGGCGTCATGGCCTTCCCATAGATGTTAGGGTTCAGGGTTCAGGGTTTCAGGATTTCAGGGCTTCAGGGTTTAGGTTTAGGGTTTAGGGTTTGGGGTTTGGGGTTTGGGGTTTGGGGTTTGGGGTTTGGGGTTTGGGGTTTGGGGTTTAGGGCTTAGGGCTTAGGGCTTAGGGTTTAGGGCTCCAAGGTTGCCCAGGGCCCGTGCAGCTCTTTCCCATCTGTAATCAAGTTGGCGATCTGCTCTTTCTGGGCCAGCTTCCTGCAGCGGCACCCCTATTTTGAGTTGCTCTCTAAGTTGGGGTACCTTTCAAGTTCGGCCCCCGAAAAACGGAAGGGCACCCTGTAAACATGAACTCCAAAAGTTCTCTTAACTTAGAGAACTACCCACGTACTAAACCTTAAACCCAAACCCAGTAGGGCTCAGTGAGGCCTGGTTGGGATTTGGTATTTACGACTTAGGATTTCCAGGGCTTCGAGAGAGCTCGGGGCTTGGGGAGGCTTAGGGTTTAGGGCTTAGGGTTTAGAGTTTGGGGGTTTAAGGGTTTAAGGTCTTGGTAAGAAGGCCTGAAGGCCCGCAATTTTCGGGACCTCTTGGGGGTTTTCTGCTGGCCCGGCTCCATTCACCGGAGAAGGTCACGTCGCAGCGGTTGAACTGTTACATTTGGGATGTTCCCCCTTATACTAACAGTCCTTAACAGGGATTGTAGTACCCCCCCCCCCCCCCCATTATAATCCCTGTAAAGGACTGTTAGTATAAGGGAGAGCATCCCAATGTTACATCCAAGTCCAAGGCCCATGTAGCTTCTTGTTGTTCCTGTTTTTTTGTTTGTGGGGGCGGGGAGCGGGCATGACATCAAAAGCTTAGGCAGGAACCACATATAATCACAAATAATCTTAGGAGCAAGAATACTTAGCAGAAGATAGGAATCGCCAGACAATCCATCGAACGTCCATAGAGTAAACGTGAGGGTTCTACCATTTTCTCCGAACTCTATCGGGCGCGCGATTCCATGCCAAAGCAGGAACAAGTGCCATTCCTGCGGAAGGATTGCGGCTTCCTGAAAGCAAGCGCCATCATGATTACTTTGTTGGCCTTAAGAACGTCCAAGACGTAGGGAGTCACAAGTGACGAGACACCCGAGCTCCGGAAGAAGAGCTTAGAACTTGAGGTTTACTTGGGGCGTACGGTTTAGGGTTTAGGGTTTAGGGTTTAGGGTTTAGGGTTTAGGGTTTAGGGTTTAGGGTTTAGGGTTTAGGGTTTAGGGTTTAGGGTTTAGGAATTTTGGGGCTGGGTGGATTGGAGCCCTATCCGGCGGAGAGTCTTGGCTGTCGCGCAACGCTAAAACCCTAGATCCGAAACCTGTATGCACCCAACCCCCCCCCCCCAAAAAAAAAAATATATATATATATATATATATAATAATAATAATAATACTAATAATAATAATAACAAGTGTATATATATATATATACCGGAAAAACCTAAGCCTAAACCCTAAACCCTAAACCTAAAACCCAAAATCTAAACCCCAAAACCCCCAAACTCCCCTCCGAGGTCACCACGACAGGATCATGTCGTCCATAAATGGCTTGCCCTCGACGACCTGCTGGGGCTTTCGGGGCATTAGGGGCATTAGGGGCACTCGGGGTTTTAGGGGTTTTAGGGGTTTTGGGCTTTCGGGGTTTAGGGTTGGGGTTTGGGGTCCAGGGGTTTAGGGTTCGGGGTTTGAGGGTTAGGGTTTAGGGCTGGTGCCGGGCTTAGGGGTCTGAAGCTCAGGGGTTTACTGTAGGGGCTTAGGTTGAGGGCTTTAGGCCGAAACCCCAAACCCCCCCCCCCCCCCCCCCAACCCCCCCCCAAACCATACGGGCTGGGATTTTTTTCCGTAGTTTTTTTCCGTTTTTTTTGTAGTTTTTTTCTGGCTTGCTGGTCGGGAACCTCTTGGCTTCCCCCCCCTGTCGAGGGGGTACTGAGCCCTCGCGCGCAGCCCAAGCGGGGGGGGTTGGGGGGGGGCGCAGCCCCCCCCCCATTTGCAAACTCAATGCTTGCATGATGAGTTTGCTTGCATGATGGGTTTCAAGATTCACATGCTTTGAAAGAAGCTAAAAAGCGGGGGGGTTGGGTTTAGGGTTTAGGGTTTAGGGTTTAGGGTTTAGGTTTAGCTTAGGGCTTAGGGTTTAGGGTTTAGTTTAGGGTTTAGGGTTTTAGGTTTAGGGTTTAGGGTTTAGGGTTTAGGGTTTAGGGTTTAGGGTTTAGGGTTTAGGGTTTAGGGTTTATGTTTTAGGGTTTAGGGTTTAGGGTTTAGGGTTTAGGGTTTAGGGTTTAGGGTTTAGGGTTTAGGGTTTAGGGTTTAGGGGAGTTTAGGGTTTAGGGTTTAGGGTTTAGGGTTTAGGGTTTAGGGTTTAGGGTTTAGGGTTTAGGGTTTAGGGTTTAGGGTTTAGGGTTTAGGGTTTAGTAAGGTGTTCCCATGGGTTTTTCCAATAAGGTTGAATCCAAATATGCCCTTAGTAAGGTGTTCCCATGGGTTTTTTCCAGGGTTTAGGGTTTAGGGTTTAGGGTTTAGGGTTTAGGGTTTAGGGTTTAGGGTTTAGGGTTTAGGGTTTAGGGTTTAGGGTTTGGGGTTTGGGGTTTGGGGTTTGGGGTTTGGGGTTTAGGGTTTAGTAAGGTGTTCCCATGGTTTTTTCCAATAAGGTTGGTTCCAATATGCCCTTAGTAAGGTGTTCCCATGGGTTTAGGGTTTAGGGTTTAGGGTTTAGGGTTTAGGGTTTAGGGTTTAGGGTTGCTTGCTTGCTTGCTTGCTTGCTTGGTTGCTTGCTTGTTTGCTTGCTTGCTTGCTTGATTGCTTGCTTGCTGGTACCGTTGCTTGTTTTCCTTGCTTGCTTGCTGGCTCGCTTGCTTACTTGCTTGCTTGCTTGCTGGGCCAGACGGCCGGAAAAAAACTACAAAAAAAAACGGAAAAAAACCACGGAAAAAATACCGCCACCAAACCATACTGGTGTTGGGGGCTTCGAAGGGCTTTGGGGACCTCTTCAGACCCTGTATCCAGTGAAGACAAGCGCTTGTTGGGCAGTTCTCTAACTTCGGGTCCCCTTTCTGGGTCCCCACCCTAAACCCTAAACCTTAAACCCTAGACCCTAAACCCATCAAACCTAAGCAAGATAATACGGCAGCTTCTACAAGGGACAGCAGAAAGCAAGGAGCCATCATAGACCCCCCTAATACCCCTCTAAGCCCCTTTCATGTATCATCATCGGGGTTTAGGGTTTCGGGCTTGAGGTTTAGGGTTTAGGGTTTAGGGCTTAGGGTTTAGGGTTTAGGGTTTAGGGTTTAAGGTTTCGGGTTCAGGTGGTTAAACTGCATAAAGTGCTGAGTCCTCCGCAAAGACTTCCTCTTCTAAGGTCGCAGTGTAAGCTCAACATCTCGAATCCTGTGTCCAACTGTGCCGAGGCACGCAGTAGACGATCTCAACGTCGTGATCCTGCCTGCCGCGCACAGAAAACCTAGGGTTGAATACGTGGACCATTTACCCCTTACACCCTAAACCCCAATCCCCAAGCCAACGTTCCCTACCTAAACCCGAAATCCCAAACTCCATTTTTCAAAGGTTTCTGTCGGAGATGGAGGAGCGCTGCCGCTCCCCATGACCTCCCCAACTCCCCTACAGATACTGTTCCCTCTCCTCGGCTTCAAATGCCTCTCAACCCCGAAAACCGAAAGCACCAAACATTGCGCCCTCCGCCTTGAGCCCAAGCAGGAGGCTGCCAGGCTGCCGGGGGTTGAGGGTTCTAGGGCTTGGGGTTTAGGACACCTGCTTGCGTAGCGTGGGTGTGTCGCACTCTTAGTAGCAACTGCCAGCTTCGAACTTCCAAGTAAAGGTAGAGTCGCCTTCCCCCGTTAAACGCCCCAAACCCTGAACCATACCTCAAAACCTCAACCCTAAAACCATGATCGTAAGAATCGTAAGGGTAGTCTGACCCCTCAACCCTCAACCCGAAACCTTGAACCCTAATCCCTGAACCCTGAACCCTAACCCCTAAACCCTGAACCCTGAACCCTAAACCCTGAACCTTAAACCCTAAACCCTGAACCCGCAACCCTAAACCCTGAACAGTGAACCTCAAGCCGAAGCGTGACAGGGTGAGCCCATGCCGGTGCACGCGATCCTCTGCTTGGATGAGCCTGTCGGGTGGGTTTGGGACAAGTGCTTTTGGATTAGGGTTTAGGGTTTAGGGTTTAGGGTTTAGGGCTTAGGGCTTAGGGCTTAGGGCTTAGGGCTTAGGGCTTAGGGCTTAGGGCTTAGGGCTTAGGGCTTAGGGCTTAGGGCTTAGGGCTTAGGGTTTGACATCTTTCGTCGGCAGTTCGGGCTGGCTTGCAGTCCAGCCAACTCCTGGGGACCCAAGATGGTTTGTTGGAATGATCTCAGATCCCCGCATTTGGCCATGGGCATCTGAAGTGGTGAACAGGGCTGCCCGTGAAGACCATTCTCAAGGCCATGTACCCCCAAGACCCTAAACCCTAAACCCTAAACCCAGGAGAGCAGGTCGATGCAGATGCGCAGCAAGGAAGCAACTCAAAGCATGATGATACTCTCGGATGGCCCATAAAACCCTCTGAAAAATAGATTCACGGGGTTCTTAGGGGGCTGCCGGGAGGCTTCTTCATGATACATATCGGGTTTGGGGTTTAGGGCGGCTTAAGGCTTTAGGCGGCGAGCCACGCGCCCTACCCCTGAGCTGCTTGTTTTGCCAGGGCCTAAACCCTGGAAGGGTTTAGGGTTTAGGTTTTAGGATTTAGGCGTTAAGACATTCAGGGTGGTTGAGGGGTTTCGGGTTGAGGGGATCAGGAGGCCACCTTTTTTTCCTAGTGAATGTGAACAACCCCAAGCCCCCCAAACCTAAAACCCCAAAACCCTGAACCCAAAACCCTGAAGCCCTAAACCCTATAGGGTTTAGGGTTTAGGGTTTAGGGTTTAGGGTTCAGGGTTTAGGGTTTAGGGTTTAGGGTTTAGGGTTTAGGGTTTAGGGTTTAGGATTTAGGGTTTAACCCTAAACCCTAAAACCTCAAAACCCTGAAACCCTAAGACCTGGACCCAAGAAGTGGCAACTGGCCTCGCCGGCACCCAGTACAACTCCGCGAAGATCACTTTGTGGGCCTTTCGTTTCGAGGTTTTCGGGTTTTAGGGTTTTAGGGCTTTAGGGCTTTAGGGCTTTAAGGGTTTTAGGGTTTTAGGGTTTTAGGGTTTTAGGCTTTTAGGCTTTTAGGGTTTTAGGGTTTTAGGCTTTTAGGGTTTTAGGGGTTTAGGGTTTTAGGGGTTTAGGGTTGAAAGCTTCTTGGCTTTGGGGATTTTAGGGTTTAGGGCTTCAGGGGTTTGGGTCTTTGAGGGCTTAGGGTTTAAAACTTCAGGGCTTTGGGGTTGCTTAGGGTTTAGGGCTTCAGGGTTTTGGGGGTTTTAGGGTTTAGGGTTTCGGGTGTCGGGTGCGAAGTGGAGTTGGGGGGCTGTGGCGCTTAAGGGCGGGGCGGGGGTCTTAGGGTTTAGATCGTCAGGGTTTAGGGACCCTTAGGGCTCAGGGCTGAAGGATATCTGGTTGCGGATGCTGGGGTTCTGTTGAAGCTTCTTGGGATGTAGAGGCATATATAACCCCTCGAAATCTGGCTTTAGGGCCCACTTTTCGACAACAGCCGAGTCCCTACAACTACGTAAAAGCTATGACAAAAGGCGGGTGAAGCATCCAACCAAGGGCAACAAGCGCATATTACAGGCCCAAAAGCCTGATTAAACCCCCAACCCCAAACCCGAAACCCCAAATCCTAAACTTTGGACGTTCCCCCTTATACTAACAGTCCTTAATAGGAACAATGAGGGGGGTACTAGAATCCCTATCTTGGTGTTCCAGTGACGCTGTTTTGATAAGGGCACCCTTGTTTTCACCCTAAACCCTAAACCCTAAACCCTAAACCCTTAACCCTAAACCTTTTTTGGGGGTTGGTCTGGGTTCTTGAAAAACTTGACAGCATCTCGCCGCCCACGGCACGGCGGCAAGCAAGGCTCCTTGAGGATGGTGGCAACCTAAACCCTAAGCCCTAAACCCTAAACCCTAAACCCTTCTCTCAATGATGGCTCCCCCATCCTGCGCCAAGTCCACCTTCCTGATCGGTTGGAACACTTGTCGGCGCCTTGCTGTCCGACCCAGACGATTCCACTTGACGATTCCGTTCGACTTCATGAAGTTGCGCCACCTCCCTTGGCTCAAGGTACGCCGCCAAGATGTTGACATCTTGGTGCGGAATACAATGCCCTAAATTCCACCCGAATCAGAGGTTTCCACGCTTACCACGCGCCGGAAAGAAGAAGGTTTGCTCCATGCATCATGCCGAAAAACACCCTGCCGAAAAGAAGACAACAGGTTTCCATGTTCGGCCTGCCGAAACCACTATTGGTGTTTCAAGTTAAGCCCCCTGCAAACTGCCGTGACCTTCGTTTTGGATTTTCACGACGGCTTGAAAACTTGAGTATGAAAAAACGTAAAGGGCAGCACCGGAGCACCAAGCTATCCAGGACTGTTAGTATAGGGGGGAACATCCCAACCCTAAACCGCAAAACCCAACCTCTGCCCAGTAGCCCTAAACCCTAAACCCTAAACCCTGAACCCTGAACCCTGAACCCCAAGACCCTAAAACCCAACCTCTTGCCAGCAGCTGGGCTTCCTGCGGCGACCAGGGAGATGCCCTGGCCGCAGGCCATGATCCTTGGGAAGGCGGGTTTAGGGTTTAGGGTTTGGGGTTTGGGGTTTAGGGTTTAGGGTTTGGGGTTTAGGGTTTGGGGTTTAGGGTTTAGGGTTTAGGGTTTGGGGTTTAGGGGGGTTCCGTAACGAGAGCGGTAAAAACGTAAAGGATGGTAGGGGGCCTACGGACTTAGGGGCCCCAAACGCCACAACCTAGGCTTAGAGTTTAGGGTTTAGGGTTTAGGGTTTAGGGTTTAGGGTTTAGGGCTTAGGGTTTAGGGTTTAGGGTTTAGGGTTGCGGGTCGCAGAGCGGGAGATCTCTCATGCGCTTCGGAGCAGAAGCTGGCGGGGGTTCCGCGCGGGAGTCGAGGGAAAGAAGGCATTTGAGGCTCAAAGGCTCTGAATGGTGCTCCCAGACCCTAAACCCTAAACCCTAAACCTTCAACCCTAAAAGCCTAAACCCTCGCGGGCCGGAATTCTGAGCCGGAGGCCCGACCAGCGCTACCTGCACCTCCGGATCCTCCTGGAAATCCTCGAGAAGCGCCTTTAGGGTTTAGGGTGTAGGGTATACGGTTTAGGGTTTAGGGTGTAGGGTATAGGGTATAGGGTATAGGGTTTAGGGTTATGATTGAGGGAGAAGAGCCTGCAGCCGAAAAAACCTTGCTGCTTTAGGGTTTAGGGTTTAGGGTTCAGGGACCAGGGTTGAGGGTTTAAGGGTTTAGGGCTTAGGGTGTCAAATAGTGCGAAGACCCCCCTTGAAGGGTCGAGGCAACTTTGATCATGGAGGTCCTTGTAACATGCAGCTCCCAAACAACAACCTTCATGTAGAACAAATTCCACACGTCCACGTAGGGTTTCGGAGGGCCCACGGCCCCTCAGCAAAAGCAAAAGGCTACCGAAATGGTTTTAGGGTTTAGGGTTTAGGGCGGTTTGCGTTGAGGGTTTAGGGTAGCTTTTAGGGTTTAGGGTTTAAGAGGCAAGGCGCAAACTGACCCAAATCTTCTAATCAAAACAACAGCGAGCATTGTGCGAAAACCGAGGACCCAGAACACTCATGAGAGCTCAAGGTTCTGTTGGGTGAAAAGCACCAGGGAACCAAAACCGAATTTCACCATACACGTTCCCTAAACCTCAAACCCCAAACCCCAAACCCTACACCCTGAACCCTGAACCCTAAACCCTAAACCTAAAGAATGAGGGGCTCGGCCGAGATGTACGAGCGAGAGCACAACGCGCGGCACTACACTTAGGGATAGGGGTTCGGGGATGGGGGGGATAGGGGTTCGGGGATGGGGGTTTTAGGGATTCCCGACTCGGGCCCTGCAATAAAATTAAGGGACTCGAAAAAGAAAATTCAGAAGGCCCAACACCAAGCCCCCACCCCACCTACCCCACCTTTTGCTCCCTTGCCCTGTGCTTCCACGTGGTTTTGCCGCCCTCTTGGTAATGTTAAGCAAGCCTCCCTACTACCCTGGCCACGAGCCACGGCCAAGGCGGGTCGCGTAGCGTGAAAGTAAACTCTGCAAACACCGTGAAGTCGCCTTCTCAACGCCAGAATGCACCCCCCCAATTCCCAATCGCCCTAAACAGCATCACCCTCATAACCTTCTGGGGGTGCACGAAAACACTTTGAAAAGGGACCCCCAATTTAGACCCCCAAGTACGTAGCAGGATTCCCTTAAATAAAGGACCCCAACAAGCCCCATATCGCCGAACGTTGTCACGAGCCTGGCGGCGGCTCTGGGCTACTGATCCATCGAGGCGGACGAACCTTGAGCGTGAATTCAACTTGGCTTTAACACTTAGGATTAGGGATGGTTCCCCCTTGTACTAACAGCCATTACTAGGGATTATAGTAACTTATAGTGCCCCCTACTATAATCCCATATCAAGGACTGCTAGTATATGGGGGAACATCCCAACTTTGGATGCTAAAGGCCCTCGAGCTTGGGGTTGCAACAATGACGGGGGGAACTCAAAAAAAGATGATTCCAAGGCCCCCCGGGCCAAGAGCATACATTGGAAGACTAAAAAAACGTCGAAACATCGTAACTCATACCGTTTTTGAGAGGGCAGAAGCATAAACCCCCCACCCCTTGCCCCCCCTGTCCAACACCACCAACGAAGCGCAGAGCGCAGACATGGAAAACGTCGACAACATCATAACACGTATCGCTATATTGAGAGGGCAAAGGCATAGGAACCCTGCAAAAAAACGCGATGTTTCTCGAGTGTGTGCACGAAACCTAGGCACAAACACGGGTTCGAAGTTGCCGCATGCCGAAAACACTGCAACCACCCGATGTTTGCGATGCTTCGCACGATGGATGCGCGGGTCCTAAATTCGACAACCCTTCAACGGCGTCGGCCTCCAAAAGGAACCTAAGACCTCTACCCCCCGGAACGTTCAAGCATCGATGGACTGGCATGGGCTTATATGGAGTTCGCGGCTTGGGGATGTTTAGGGCTTGGGGCTTAGGGTTTAGGGTTTAGGGCGTAGGGTTTAGGGTCTAGGGTTTAGGGTTATTGTTTAGGGTTTAGGGTTTAGGGTTTAGGATTTAGGGTTTAGGGCGTTCAAGGTTAACTTCGCCATGGGGATAGGTTTACCTCCATTGCCGGGAGAGGCACCGTATCTTCAATCCAGGGGCTCTGAACCACCAACGTGTTTGGAGTTCGAGGTTAAACTTGAAACACCTGAACCCCTAAACCCTAATCCCTAAACCCTAAACCCTAAACCCTAAACCCTATGCGCAGTCGTTGGGGTGCACTAACAAGCCTTGGAGCCCTGAACCCTAAAACTCCAAACCCGAAGCCCCCAAACCCTGAAACTCTGAACCCTTCAGCCGAGTCCTCAAGCAACCCTAAACCCTAAGCCCTAAGCCCTGAACCCTAAACCCTAAACCCGAAACCCTAAACCCTAAACCCTAAACCCTAAACCCTAAACCCTAAACCCTAAACCCTAAACCCTAACCCTAAACCCTAAACCCTAAACCCTAAACCCTAAACCCTAAACCCTAAACCCTTAACCCTACACCCAGGCCAGATCGCCGAACTCTTGTCAGTCAGATCACCGGCGGCCAATTTTCTGCAGCATCTTCTGGACGGAGTTGAGGATGACCATGTGATGACCTTGGGGGGTTTAGGGTTTAGGGTTTAGGGTTTGGGGTTTGGGGTTTAGGGTTTGGGGTTTAGGGGTTTTCAAGGTCGCTGGGAAACAGGCTTTCTGCAGATGGCCGCGGCAACGACGCGGATCTGGCACTGTCTTCACGTCAGCATCAGCTGGCCTGACCGAAGGTCCTTCCGGGCGCCTGCTCCAACAAACAACCGGGCAGGATTGTGCTCTTTGGCACACTGCTCGTTCAGGAAAACCTTGCCAAATGAAGAAGGAAAGATTCTACGCCGCTATCGATACTGACACGTAGTGACAGACAGTCCAGTTGCTTTCTTGGGTCCGATTACATCGGGTACCCAGTCGCAAGACTTCAACTTTTGGCCCTCAAACCAGTCTTGGCCCCTTGGTGTGTTCTACCTCATGGCGCAGCCGTTGCGCTACGCAGGCTTTCAAGGCCGCTACCTGTAAGAACATAGTTCAGTGAAGGTATGCAATCACATCGCCAAAGACTGTTCGAGAACTTGTTCCGTTGCAATCAGTGCCCCTTGTGTTACAGCAACAGTATTCGTTTTTTCGGGCTTTCCTTGCGCAGTGTCCTCTGTCAATGTGCGGCCAGGTCAACTTGCAATGTCTCTACAGTTACTCACAGCAATCGAGCGTTCGGTCCAGGAAGTTATTGAAATCCCACTCGAATCCCGTATTTTCTGCATTATGCGTGTCCTACATGTCCTAAAGGTGTGCCACCAGGGCGGGGGCGAAATCTTGAGGCTCACTGGTCACTGATAACCCTAAATCCTAAACCCTCAATATTGCGAGGTCCTGCAACCAGATCAAGGATGCCTTTGGGAAAGTTTCACGGGCAAACTTCGTCCCAAGGAGGATCCCGAATCTTCAGGCTCAAACGCCGAAGCTATGAGCCTTTTGCGTGTGAACAAAACAACTGCTGGCAAAAGTTTCCCTCTGAGCATCTTGGCTTTGGCTCTTGGTTCTGGGTTTCTTGGCGTCCTAAGCTTCGAGAACAGAACCAAGAACCAAGATGCCTGGAAACCCTAAACTTTCCTAAACCCAAACCCCAAACCCCAAACCCCAAACCCCAAACCCCAAACCCTAAACCCTAAACCCATCTTCGTTCCACAGGGGCCCGCAGCTTTGAAGCTTTGAGGCTCAAAGCTCGGGTCTCCGAGGGACGAAGCTTCGATTCAGGGTTTAGGATTTAGGATTTAGGGTTTAGGGTTTAGGGTATAGGCTTTGGGCTTTAGGCTTTAGGCTTTAGGCTTTAGGCTTTAGGCTGTAGGGTTTAGGGTTTAGGGTTTGGGGTTTAGGGTTTAGGGTTTAGGGTTTAGGGTTTAGGGTTTAGGGTTGAGGGTTGAGGGTTGAGGGTTTAGGGTTTAGGGTCTAGGGTGAAGGGCTTAGGGCTTAGGGGTTGTCGTGTTCGCAGGTGAACAAGGTAAAACCCCAAACCCCAAACCCTAAGCCCTTGCTGGGACAGCTGCCGAACACCACCAGCTTGCAGTCAGGGTCGGAATTCTCCAACACGCTGCGGACCTGGGGCAGAAATTTCAGGGCTTCAATGATAGTATCGATAGGGTCAGGGCTTCAGGGCTTAGGGTTCAGGGTTTAGGGCTTAGGGTCTAGGGCTTAGGGTTTAGGGCTTAGGGTTTGGGGTTTAGGATTTAATGATAAGAGCCATTCGGCTCGTGGGGCTCTTCGCGCCCTCAGGGCCTTTAGGGTTTAGGGTTTAGGGTTTAGGTTTGGGGTTTGGGGTTTGGGGCTTGGGGCTTGGGGCTTGGGGCTTGGGGCTTGGGGTTTGTGGTTTGGGGTTTCCCTAAACCCGCAAACCCAAAAACCCTGGGGGTGGGCGAGGGTCGAGGGATTAGGGATTAGGGTTTAAGGTTTTGGCCTTGTTTGGATGTTGCCTACACAAACCGAACATCCATCGGTTAACCAGGGTGATATAAACATTCGGCCTAGACAAATATTTCAGCCCCAACCCCCTGAAACACCTTGAGCCCAATCCCCATGACACGGCTCTCCCTGAGCAACAATCGCTACGGCCACGGCATACTCCGTCACGGGCACCGCCTTCGCCTGGCAACAGCACTGCGGCCGCAATACGCGCCGTATCACCCTCAACCCTGAACTTCAAACCTTTCGGAGCCCCTAAACGCTAGAACCCTAAACGCAAGAATCCCTGAACCCGAAACCCTAGACGCCTTTCCTATATAACCCAGAGATCCTTGAACACCCAAGTAGTTGAGGGTTTGCGAGGTTAGAGGCTCCAGCGCCTAGAGGCTGGCTTAAGGTTCAGGTAGGGTTTAGGGTTTAGTGTTTAGGGTTTAGGGTTTAGGGTTTAGGGTTTCGGGTTTCGGGTTTAGGGTTTAGGGTTTAGGGTTTAGGGTTTAGGGTTTAGGGTTTAGGGTTTAGGGTTTAGGGTTTAGGGTTTAGCTCTCTTCAGAATCGCAGCGTCCTGCCATGTCCCCCCTTCGTTCGTTCACACCCTCATCATGATGCCGTCGACACCCATCGTACGAGAAGTTGCTCCGCCAACCGTACCCCGAACCCCGAACCCCGAACCCTAAACCCTAAACCCTAAACCCCAAACCCGAAACCCGAGACCCGAGACCCATAAACCCATAAATCCTAGTACTAGAGGGAGGGAGGTGAGAAGCCCTGGCCTCGCAACCCTGGAGACTCGGTTTCCCGATACACATTAGGGTTTAGGGTTTAGGGTTTAGGGTTTAGGGTTTAGGGTTTAGGGTTTAGGGTTTAGGGTTTAGGAGCCCAAATGGAGCGTGATGGCGGCTTCCCTTCGGAAATCGGCAAATGCCCAGCACATGGATGTTGTTCTAAATTCTTATGCCAAGCCTAAGGCCGTAGGGTTCCCTTGCGCCTCGCCCTTGCGCCGCCTTGCGCCGTGCTAGTGTTTGGCCACGTCGGCAAACATGCCAACGAAAAAAACGTGGTACCGACAAGGTTTTCTGGGGGTTTGTACTATGTACTAGAAGCGATGTTTCCATAAGCTGGCTGGATTGTCACTGTTTCGTCGTTCGAGCTCAGTACTGGAAGCGATGATTCCGTAATGCGGCTGGATTGTCGCTGTTTTGAAGTATAGGCTTAACTTAGCACCGGAATCGATGTTTCATGACATGTACAAACCAGTTTTATTGTGTCAGGGCCCATGGCTCCACATCGGCCACGCGGTCTTGCGCCAGCCTTGCGCGTCCCTTGCGCCACCCTTGCGACGCGAGTCCCGCTGACATCCCTAAACCCTAAGCCCGAAGCGCTAACCCTACTTATAAGCACCCATGAACCTCCAAGTAGATGAGCACCCAACGATCCTTGGCATGCCCACGGACATGCCGTCTGAGTTCAGGGCTGCGGTGCCCGGACCGTATATTTTGCAGCTTCTTGCCCTAAACCCTAAACCCTAAACCCTAAACCCTGAACCCTAAACCCTGAACCCTGAACCCTGAACCCTAAGCCCCCTACATGCCCCGCCTGGGCAGTGAGCGCGAAGATCTTCTGAGGAATTCTCCGCATCAACAGCGGGTTTTTGCTCGCAGCGGCTCTCTGCTGATACGCCTCAGGTTTAGGGTTTAGGGTTAGGGTTTAGGGTGCAGGGTTTAGGGGTTTAGGGTTTAGGGTTTAGGGTTTGGGGTTAGGGTTTAGGGTTTAGGGTTTAGGGTTTAGGGTTTAAGGTTTAGGGTTTAGGGTTTAGGGTTTAGGGTTTAGGGTTCAGGGTTTAGGGTTTAGGGTTTGGGGTTAGGGTTTAGGGTTCGGGCTTAGGGTTTGGGGTTTGGGGTTTAGGGTTCAGGGTTTAGGGTTTAGGGTTTAGGGTCTAGGGTTAGGGTTTAGGGTTAGGGTTGAGGGTTTAGGGTTTAGGGTTTCGGGTTTCGGGTTTCGGGTTTAGCTTGAGGGACCAGAGCATTACAACAGAAATCTCAACCCCTAAACCCCTCAACCCCCTAAACCCCTGAACCCCTGAACCCCTAAACCCCTATACCCAAACCATGAACCCTGAACCCTACCCTGAACCCTAAACCCAGAACCCCAAACCCTAAACCCTAACCCTAAACCCTAAACCAAACCCCGAACTAGGTCTTTGTGCCTTTTTGCTTGTTCAGTGCGGGAGCGCTCGCTTTCAGGGCAAACTCAGGTACTTCTCCCTAGGGCAGTTGCTACAGTTCAGGGTTTAGGATTTAGGGTTTAGGGTTTAGGATTTAGGGTTTAGGGCTTATGATCCAGGGCTTAGCAGCTCACCAACTAACCTGTCGCAACAGTCTGAATCCATCCGGAGCCGAGTGTGGGTTTAGGCCTGTACGCTTTTAGGTTTAGGGTTTGGGGAAAAAAGGTTACAGGTTTGTAGGCTAGGCTATTGGGTTTTTGGAGTTGCAAGGTGTAGGGTTGTGAGGTCGAGGTTACCTCAGCCAGCACTTGAGTGCCCAAACCTTGACGGGGAATTAGTATCCCTCTTGGTGGCCTCCATACAAAAAGAAAAAGTCCGACTCTGAAAGATATCTACTAGGAAACCAAAGAACCAGAACTACCGCCCAAGCTAAAATCTTGACACTCTCAACACCTGACACCCTGAAGAACACTCAACCCTAAACCCCTAGACCCCTAAACCCCTAAATCCTAAACCCTAAACCCTAAACCCTCAACCCTAAACCCTTGAACCTCTCCTCCCCGAAGCCCGACAGTTGCGGAAAAGGAAGAAGGCTCTCTCCTCATTCGGTGCCAGACCATGATCTTCTGGACGTGCTTCCCATCGATACGGGCGCCTGATTGACGAAGGGTTTAGGGGTTTAGGGTTTAGGGTTTGGGGTTTAGGGTTTAGGGTTTAGGGTTTAGGGTTTAGGGTTTAGGGTTTAGGGTTTAGGGTTTAGGGTTTAGGGTTTAGGGTTTAGGGTTTAGGGTTTAGGGTTTAGGGTTTAGGGTTTAGGGTCTTAACGGGGATGATAATGGGGTACTATAATCCCGATTGAGGACTGTTAGTATAAGGGGGAACAGCCCAAGGTTCAGGGGTTTATGGACTGACCTGTACAACAGCCTACCTTTTCAGGGACATCCGCAAGGAAATCAAACCAATGGAGCCCTCAAAATCTAGCTTCTTTGGGACGCAGGCAGGGTTTGGGGCCTTCTTTTGTCGCTTCAATAGGTTTTCGTGCCTCTCCTCTCTGCTCCCAGAGCTGCCCCTGGGTCCCGGAAATAAACCCAAAACCCTAAACCCTAACCCCTAAACCCTAAACCCTAAACCAATTAACCCCTAAACTCTCTGAACCGAAAGGCAGCGATGGCTCTAATAAGCCGGGCAATCGAGGCGGAGCCCACGCTCCAGTGCCCCGCGTTTAGGGTTTAGGGTTTAGGGTTTAGGGTTTAGCGTTTAGGGTTTAGGGTATAGGGTTTAGGGTTTAGGGTTTAGGGGTTAATTCATCGTGCAAACAGGTTGTCGGAACTGCTACCAGGAGAAATATATGGGGCTTGAAAATAGGGGTACCCTTTTTGGGGCTAACGTTTTGGGAGCTGTGCCCCCATAGAACCTCCCCAAAGCCAAACCTCACAACGTATGATGGGAAATACCCACATGGGAATTCACCACAAAGGGCTGCACCCCATAGACGCCCAAGAGCAGAATCCCCTTCTTGGACGGATCCCCGACAGACCTAAAACCCCAATCGCCAGGTCCAACAGGGCGCCGGCGGAAGTTGAGTCTGAACTTGCTCTTTTCCGCCTCACAAGCTTACTCGGCTTAGGGCTCAGGGTTTAACGGGTACAGGGCTTAGGGTTTACAGGCTACAGGGCTCAGGCTAAGGGTGTTCTAGGATACAGGGCTTGGGGTTGAAGTTCTGGATGTGCAGTTTAGAGTGTGCTCAGCCAAAGCACGAGGGGGAAGGGAGACGCAGTCAACACCCTCAACCCTCAACCCAAGACCCTCACTCCTCTCAGAAATGGGCAGTCCCACTGTCACTCAACACGCCCAAGCAAGACCCCCAACTGCCCCTTTAGGGTTTAGGGTTTAGTTTTTAGGGTTTAGGGTTTAGGGTTTACGGTTTCGGGTTTAGGGTTTAGGGTGTCCCGAACCCTGGACCCTGAGCCCCGAAAGCAGCCCCCCAAACCTCATCCGCCTGGTGGATACAGCAGAGAAAAGCTCCATCTAAGACACAAGGTTTGTAAAGGCCGGTGGCCTCTTCATCAACTGCTCTTTATACCTTACTATAGCCCCTGGATACCCCAATAGCCCCCTACAAAGCAGAAACCCTACTTAAACTTAAAGAGACCACCAACCAATAGAACACGAGGATGTGTAGGTACGGTCAACCCTAAACCCTAAACCCTAAACCCTAAACCCTAAACCCTAAACCCTAAACCCTAAACCCTAAACCCACGGCCCTTGGAACTTCAAAGAAACTCGGCCAGGCAGATGGGGCCCTGGAGCCATAGCTGGGGCCCCCAACGAGATCTGTGAGCACATCCTGGCAGAGCGCGGAGTTGGGAGGGTTTTGGGTTTAGGGTTTAGGGTTTAGGGTGTAGGGTTTAGGGTTTAGGGTTTAGGGTTTAGGGTTTAGGGTTTCGGGTTTAGGATCTAAGGTTTAGGGTTTAGGATTTAGGGTTTAGGGTTTAGGGTTTAGGGTTTCGGGTTTAGGATTTAGGGTTTAGGGTTTAGGGTTTAGGGTTTAGTGTGTTTTCAGGGCTCCGGATTTAGCTTGGGGCTGTAGGGTTTAGGGGTATTGCGGGTGACTAGGACTCTTCACCCATTCATGACCCGTTCGTTCCTGCCCTACGGTCTACACGTGAGAATGCTGAAAGCACAGGAAGTTCAACATCTTGAATCATCTTGAAGTTAAGCCCTCCCATCTGCATCCTCGTCCCCAGTGACCCGACCTGCCCTGCCTACACTGGTACCTCCGAACATTTGGGCTTAGGGCTTCACGATGGTGGAGGTTCTGTTAGACCTCAAAAACAAACACATCCCTAAACCCTAAACCCTAAACCCTAAACCCTAAACCCTAAACTCCACCAAACCCTAAACCCATGCTGAAAATCAGAGCCCCCTTCGTGCTTCACCCCCCAGCGTGCCGACTTCTTCTGCCGCACCAGGAAGGAGCCGAAGACCTCGTAGAGCTCCTCGGGACGCCTCAAGGGTTTAGGGTTTAAGGTTTAGGGTTTAGGGTTTAGGGTTTAAGGTTTAGGGTTTAGGGTTTAAGGTTTCAGGGTATAGGTTCCGAGGCTCTCAAGCAGTAAACAGATATTTCCGCACGATAAGGAGGCGAGGAAACCTCGCAAAGGTGGCACGCTAGGTTGTTTAAGGGTAGTTACATGGTCCCTTAACATGGTTCCTATACCTTCTTTCCCTAAACCCGAAACCCTAACCCCTAACCCTAGGTCCCTTGAATTTTATCGGGTATACAAGGGGTCTATAGGGGGGGGGCTTCTTTCAAGTGAGGGCGCCGCACCTCGATGCTTCGAGTACCACCTGTATCATCGAGACACCGTCTAAACCCTAAACCCTAAACTCCCTGAAGGTTTCGAGGAAGACCAGAAGACCCTCAGCCCGACTCCGCCCTCAGCCGGAGGCCTCACCCCAAAGGGCGTGCGAGTGACGACTCCTCGGCACTTCTGCGTAGGGTTTAGGGGTTACCGGGCTCTTCCATGAAATGCAACCCCCGTGGGTGCTGGTCCCAGGCTCCGTCTTCGTCCGTCTGCGTCTTGAAGTCGCAATATCGCTCGCCTTGGAGCGCGGAGTGCTCCGGGTTTAGGGTTTAGGGTTTAGGGTTTAGGGTTTAGGGTTTAGGGTTTAGGGTTTAGGGTTTAGGGTTCGCGGCTTAGGGTTTCGGGCTACACCAGCTCAACAGACATGCGCTCCCTTCAACAAATTCAAAAACAGGAAGGCTAAACTTAGCCGCTGAGTTCATATGCCCCACAAAAAATGCACACTTTCAGCTCTATAGGGGATTATATTATCCCAAAAAGTGAAAAGTGCCCTGGTTCCATTGCTAAGTAAAGGCTACGACTCAAACCCCCCATGTCTCCCCTGGTTTCTGTCTTTCTCTTCGGGTGGCTCTTGGGCACAAGCTAGATCAAACCCAGGGTTTAGGGTTTAGGGTTTAGGGTTTAGGGTTTAGGGTTTAGGGTTTAGGGTTTAGGGTTTAGGGTTTAGGGTTTAGGGTTTAGGGTTTAGGGTGTAGGGTTCAGGGTTTAGGGTTTAGGGTTTAGGGCCCTCAGTCTGTTCAAGAGCTGTCTGGTTTCACAGTTCGACCAGGGTGAACATCTTACACCTCAAACTCAAAATCCCAGACCCCTAAACCCCTAAACCCCTAAACCCCTCAACCCCTAAACCACTAAACCCTAAACTCCTAAACTAACCCCTTAACCCCTATACCCCTGAACCCCTACACCCCTAAGCCCCTACCCCAAATGCCCCTAAAACCCTAAACCCTATAGTTTACAACCCTAACCCCGAAAACCCAAAAGCCCCTCAAAACCCTCTAAAGCCCCCTGAACCCCAAAACCCTGAACTGCCGGGGGCTGAACAGAAGTTCTCGAACGTGGGGAGGGTGGGGTCAAGCCTGGCGGCATGCTCAAAGCTGGTTTTAAGGGTTATGGGGTTTAGGGTTTAGGCTTCAAGGGGAATAGGTCTTCAGGCTTTTGGGGTTTAAGGGTTACGGGGTTTGAGGGCTTTCGGGTTCGAGGGATATCGGGTCTTGGGGTTTCAGGGTTGAGGCTTTTGGGGCTTTGGGCTTTCGGGGTCAAGTGTTAATAAGGGTTCTGGGTTGCAGGGGTTAGGCTGCGGGTTTACGGGCTTTGGGGTTTGGGAATTCTTCCCATTCCTGAACCTCCAGCCTCAAGGACTTCAAACACAAGGAACCTAAGACGCTAGCCTGTTTTGCGGCCTTCTCATCTGAGTTTTTTGAATTGGAATCAGTGGTCGTAGGCCTTCGACTGCAACCGCGAGCGTCTTTGGGGTTCTGGGTATAAGGCCAAGGGACCCGTTAGCCGTCAAATGCCGGGTTTAAGCTTGCATCCACGCTTGGGGCAGAGGGCAACAGGCTCACGAACTCCACGGCCCGGTCTATAGGTTTCGGGGATCAGGCGAGGGCTTGCGAGCTTCGGCTGCGGGTTGGGTTTGGGGGAAAGTGCAAAAAAGGAGGGGGGAACCCTATACGGACAACTGTCAAGCCAAAGTGGAAACTGGCCGGCCCCTCGCATGCATCAGGGACCAGGTTTCCCCAGCATAGTTGAGCCTTGCTCAATCAGAGGAGCCACAGCCGGCCAAATCCATGACGCATGGTCTTGCATGGCCCCTTCTCTTGATGACCACCCTCCCAAAGCATGCTACAAGCTTAAGCCTCAAAGGTGGGGATACCATCGACTTCCACCCTACACCCTAGACCCTCTTCCTTCAATTGAAGCGATACTTCGGCTCATCTTACCCGTAGGCAAGTCACCTCTTGCAATAGGATTGACGTCTTTACTCTTCTCTTTGGGGGAGGTGGTCGGGTGGCGGGCTGCCTAGACGATACTGCGGCTGCGTGGCATGGGGCGGGCGCAAGTTGCCAAATTCAAACACCCCACTTCTAGGCGCTCTGGGACTTAGGGCTTAGGGTCTTAACGGTTGCTGACCGCTGAGCCTCTGACACAGGTGTGCCAGTGAGCAGAATGCAGCCTTGACTTGACAGAGATTAGGATTTAGGGTTTAGGGTTACGGCTTAAGGCTTAGGGTTTAGGGCTTCATTACGGCTGCGCGCTTTCCACTGAAAAAGGGTTTACCCCTGATTTGGCGGGGCGTAGTAGCAAAAATGGGGATGTAGTGCAGGGATCAGGTCCAGGAATGCAAATGGAGCTTAGCATGCATCTTTGACCGTCCAAAGCTGTTGCTTAAAAAGCAAGACTTGTGTAAAAACAAGCCTGCAGCCTTCAGCCTTTACAGAGTTTTCAATAGGAGAACAACGCACAACTTTCCCGAAACCTCCCAACGTTGAAGGCGGATTAGTCAAACTTCCGCTCAAAACCGGCAATGGCTCCCTCTCCGCCCCCTAGTTACTTTTCGGGCCATCCAGTTCAACCCAGCAACAGCCCCCTCAAACCCCTCGTGTCCCATCCCCAGCACCCCATAACGTTGCTCCCACTCCTTGTGGGGCTTCACATGCTTCACTACGTCGCTACGCACTCCGGTGTTGCAAAATTGTGGGGGGCCACAAACCCATAACCCACGCCCAACCACAACCAAAAAACAGCAAAAAGACTCAACCCAAGCTCACGAATGCATGAAGCTCAGGTCAAGTCGGCTTGCAAGCCGACAGATGGGGAACAATGCCTGCGTCAAGCTTGGGAGTTTTTGGCGGGGATTCAAGTTGTGGCGACCAATGTTGACGCAACTCAACACGTCGAAAGACCCAGGCTATCGGCCAAACACTCCACGCCTCCGACAAAGCCATGCAAGTAAAGGCGTACAGGCTTCGAGACCCACAGTGCGAGACATCTTCTTGGACCCACCACTGCTTTGCACTCGTGCCTGCGCGCGCCGAGTTTGCGAGTTCTTTATGAAGTGAGCCTCATCCACGATGACGACCTGCCGGCTGTTTTGCGCTGGGTGTCCTACGCAAGCAATTTGCAGGGCAGGACGGGCCGAGAGTCGGAAGTGGTTCGAAAGGACGTTGCTTTTTGCACTCCTGCAGGTTCCCTTGCCTGCCATGCTCAGAACCGTGATAGCTGACGACCTACAGGCATTGCAGGCCGCGTATTCGCGCGCGGGCGTGAGGCTTCTTGCTTGGACCCCCACCAATTGCAGAGCATGACACCACAGGCAATCGACCACCATGATGCATATGATTGCGCCCCAAAGTTTGCACTGCTTCCCCGCGACGAGGAGATCTCTTGCTATCAGCCCTCCTCCCACTCTACAGCCACTACCAGGTTTTCGGGTTGAGGGTTTAGGGTAGCGACTCCCCAGTCTTCTGGCGCAGGCTTGCCGACTGTGCATCCAGCGCGTGTCCATCTTTGTTCAGAAGTGAGCCTCACGCGTGAGGAGCAAGGTGGCGACGAGCACTGGATTTGGGGCGTGGTGTCTGTGGAGCCATGGATACTCATCAGTAGAATTCTGAGTACCTTAAGTCAGGTTATCACACCAGCTACCATACATAACACCCTACTTATCATCGCCCGCGGAGGGCGTGGGTGTTCGAAAACTGGGGTCTTTTTTCGGGGGTGTGTGTCCTGCGCAATGGGGCACCACTAGCAGTGCATTTCTTGCAGCTGTGGACTCGGGGACCTCCGCCTATCGTGCCCTCGAAGCCAACTCCAAAAACCTTCAGCCCCCTAGGTCCCAGAGCAACCTACGAACACGAAAAGGTTTCGGTTTCGCGGATTCGGGGATTCGGGGATTCGCGGATTCGGGGCTTCGGGGTTCTGGGGTTTCAGGTTTAGGCTGTAAGGCTTGGGAGTCCACCCCTTTCTTTAAAGGGGTTCATAGTCATAGTGGAGCCGATCCTCAGCCTCAGCGCTTGGGGATAGGGTCTATCTATGGTTTCGGGTTTGGGGCCGATACCCTCCAAGAAGGGTTTAGGGTTTCGGGTTTAGCGTTTAGGGTTCAAGGTTCAGAGAATTAGGGAAGTACTGCACGAGGGCACTTAGGGTTCATGGATACTTCTGTAGGGATATGAAGTAGGGTTATCTTTCTCGGACCCCCACAAGGACACCCGATATATGATCCCGTGTCCCGTGCAGGTACCCCCCCCTCCCCCCAACCCCCCCCCCCCAGCCCCCCCTAGACGCCAACCCCTAAACCCCTAAACCCTGAACCCTCAACCCTCAACCCAAACCCCAACCACAGCACCCCACAAAAAGGCCCACACCGCGGGGACCCTAAACCCTAAACCCTCAACCCTCAACCCTCAACCCTAAACCCTCAACCCTAAGCCCCAAGCCCTACGCCCTAACCCTAAACTCAGGGCCTAGGCCGCCCCCCTACGTTGGGGGGCGGCGCTTAAGTGCTTCGACCTCGATGGCGCAAGCCGACCCAGGTCGCTCGCCCGCCTCCCACAGCATGGGGATCGGTAGCGCCTATGATGGGTGGCAAGGTACAGTTTTTTTTGGGGACCAGCGCGGGTCCCTTATCTTTATGTAATGGGCTCCCAGGCTAGGAGGACCCGGACCCTCGCCGCAGCGTGCCCAAGGACCAGGGGGCCCTCAGGCCAGTCCAGGCAGGGCGGGGCCTTGGCCCGGTGACTGCTGGTTTTCTGGTGTCTGACCTGGTGGCCTTTGCCGCCCTGGTGGGCTGGCAGCCTGTCCTCTTTACCCGCCACGCCGGCTTCGGCCTTCGAGACCTTGCTGGCACCCTTGACTCTCGGACTCAACCAACATCAAAGTTTTGAAAAGTGGACTGTTGTCTGAGTTTAGGCCTAAACCCTAAAAGGAATAGGTTTGGGTGGCTTTGCCGCCTTGGACGGCGTGGGGTGGGAGAAAAGTGTTAGATGGCCCTCCACAATCGGGCCAAAGCTGCTCTTCAGCACCTCACGAAGCTCTCGAGCTTGTTCCAAAACCTAACCTTCACAGCATCTACGCCCTATCACAGAAAACCCTAAACCCTAATGTGAGGGTGGCTTTTTTAATTGGGGTGGCAATAGTAATATTCGCCAGGCCAGAGGGCCCCAGCCGAAGACTACTTTCCATTACGGGAGGTTTTCGGGCCGATGTATGTAAACAAGTCTATATAGGGGGGTCCGGTGATAATAAGAATGGGGCGGCAATTGTAAAATTTCTCTGGCCAGGAATTGAAAATTTTACTGAAAATGGCTTAAGAGTTCCATTGCAGAGAAAACTTTTCAGCTGAGCTGGCTTGAAAGAGCTCCAAGGCTCAGTCTTTAGAGAAGCAGATCTCGTTTGAGATTGCTTGTCTTCCAGACCCCCAGACCCCAGACCCCCAGAATCCTCATAATTGACACCCCCTCTTTTTTTCCACCCCCTCCAAGCCCCGGGGACCAAAACAAGATTTGGGGGGGGGGGGTTTATTAAAGCGACCCTAACATTAAACCCTAAACCCTAAACCCTAAACCCTAAACCCTAAACCCTAAACCCTAAACCCCAAACCCCAAACCCCAACCCCACCCCAAACCACAAGGGGGCGGGGCGGGGAAAGAATTTGGGGGGGGGGGCCATGGGGGGGGGCCCGGGGGGGGGATGGGCTGAGAGGGCCCCCCCACCCCCCATTCCCTGCTGCAACACCCCCGCCCCCCCCCCATCCCCGCCCCCCCCCCCCCACGCCCTCCCCACTGCCTGCGCCCCTGCCCGACCCCCCACTGCCGTTAGTACCCCTTGCCCCTTGCCCCCCCTCTTACCCTCGCTGCTTCCTGATGTGTTAGCAGTCCTCCCCCACTGCCTTGCTTTTGAGGCTCCAGTGCATGCCCGAGCCCCCCCCACCTCTTGCCCCTTGACGCGTCAGGAATGGAGTCCCCCCTTCCCCCCCACTGCTCCGCTGCCGCTGCTGTTCGTGCCCCTTGCCCCTTGCGCCTCTTCCCTCGCTGCCCCCTGACGTGTTAGTAATGGAGTGTTTTAAAAGCTCCAGTGCATGCCCTGGAGTGTTTTAAGGGCTCCAGTGCATGCCCGACCCCCTTTATCCCCTGCTGCCCTTGCTGTCCCCGCCCCACCCCGCCCCCCGCACCCCTCCCGCCCGCCACCCTTCCCGCCCCCTTGCCCCCACCTCTTACCCTCACTGCCCTCTACCAGGTTAGTAACCTCATTGCGGCCTCCCGCCGTACCCGGTACCTTGGAATGATACGTTGAAGTGCGCGGAGCTCAAGTTGAGGGGTCGGTGGCACTGGCGGTAGCCATTAAATATACACTCACCAATATTAAAAAGGAACCTTATACACCCTCACCAAAAACAGAAATATAAACCCTGCTTCATACAACGACACAAAACAAGGCCGTTCGTCTAGCTGCCCCTTCCTACAACGCTGCTTGTAAATGCCAACAATACCCATGAACTGGGTGCTACTGTAAAGCTGAGGCTTGGGATCTCGGACCCTAAACCCTAAACCCTCAACCCTCAACCCAAAACCCTCAAGGTGTTTGGATGCTTTGGGCTCTTGTGGGCTCTTGTGGGCTCTAAGGCTCTGAGAGCTTGTCTCGGCGTTCAGGGCCGACTCCGTTTCCGGCTTCGAGCTTCGGATTAGGGGTTCGGGGGTTTGGGGCTTAGGGTTTAAGGGGCATTTGGGGTTCTTTGGGGGGCGCCCCGAAGCCTGGTAGGGGCTGCCATCCGGTTGCATACCCAGGGCTGGATTTCGCCAGAGCTGATCCTCAGCATCTCCTAGAACCCAATGAAGGCGCGCAGGGCTTGTAGGACACCCTGAAGCAGAGAGAACATTCTGTCGAGCATAATCGGTGCACGACGTTGCCGTTGAACTAGCCATGGCCAAGCTACTCCACCTGGATCGCCTCTCTCTGCTGCCAATAGAGTCTGCCGAACCCACACAGTAGGGGCTTTGATTCTGGGCATCCGCAAATGGACACCTGGTACATAGACTCGATATTTAGGAGGAGCCCTTTATATACACTCATCATCAGCAGTTTACCTACCTCTGGAGTAGACCCAGAACAAAAAGTATATACCTTTCAGGTATAAGTAGCTATAATGGGAACCCAAAACCCAAAAAAGTACTAGAAGAGGGATGGCCCGAAAGCATCGATTTGCCGTGCGTTGACTCCATGCACTTGACTCTTTGTAATCGAACTGTATGCACTTGGAGAAATGTATGCCCTTACATGGTTGCATAGTCACTTGTACACTGCACTTGTATGCACTGCTATTTGCGGTGTTTTCAGGCGGCCAGATGTCCGTTACCATGCTATTTGCGGTGTTTTCAGACGCCCAGGGCGTCCGCGGCGTACTATACGTCTGTGCTACAAAAAAAGTCGACTTTCCAGCCACGGAAGCTCCGCGTGTGCGCGGCGTACTACGTGAGTACTACAAAAAGTCGACTTTCCAGCCACGGAAGCTCCGGGCGTCCCCGGCGTACTATACGTCTGTGCTACAAAAGTGGACTTTCCAGCTACGGAAGCTCCGCGTGTGCGCGGCGTACTACGTTTGTACTACAAAAGTCGACTTTCCAGCCACGGAAGCTCCGGGCGTCCCCGGCGTACTATACGTCTGTACTACAAAAGTCGACTTTCCAGCTACGGAAGCTCCGCGTGGCGTACTACGTTTGTACTACAAAAGTCGACTTTCCAGCCACGGAAGCTCCGGGCGTCCCCTGCGTACTACGTTTGTACTACAAAACTCGATTTTCCAGCCACGGAAGTCCCCGGCGTACTACGTCTGTACTACACAAGTCGAAAAACAAACGCAAAAAACGCAAAAACACTACGGTTTTAGCACCGCGACCACGCGAAAACCCGCAGAGGGGTTACGTTTGCATGTCAAGAAACGCAAAAACACGAGGGTTTCGGCACCGCGCCAACGCCGAAAGCCGCAGAGGGGTTACGTTTGTATGTCAAAAAACGCAAAAACACCACGGTTTTGGCACCGTGCCAACGCCGAAACCCGCAGAGGGTTGTCTGCGGCCACGAAAAAAAGTACCGACGGTTTTAGCACCGCGACCCGGCGATCACCCGCAGAGGGTTGTCCGCGGCCACAAAGCAACGTAAAAAAACGACGGTTTTGGCACCGCGACCACGCCGAAACCCGCAGAGGGTTGTCCGCGCAAATCAAGAAACGTAAAAAAACGACGGTTTTAGCACCGCGACCACGCCGAAACCCGCAGAGGGTTGCAATCCCGATTGGCGATGTCAACCCAGCCCGCCGCCTTAGAAAGAGTAATTTTAATTTAGAAATCTAGGACTGGGTACGAAGGTCTAGTAAATTCTACGTAAATCTAGAAATTTGTATTCACTGATTACTCTATGCAATTCACTCTATGCACTTCACTCTATGCACTTCACTCTATGCACTTCACTCTATGCACTTCACTCTATGCACTTCACTCTATGCACTTCACTCTATGCACTTCACTCTATGCACTTCACTCTATGCACTTGCACTTTACTCTATGCACTTCACTCTATGCACTTCACTCTATGCACTTCACTCTATGCGCTTCACTCTGTGCACTTCACTCTGTGCACTTGCCTCTATGCACTTCACTCTATGCACTTTGCTCTATGCGCTTCACTCTATGCACTTCGCTCTATGCACTTCACTCTATGCACTTCGCTCTATGCACTTCACTCTATGCACTTCACTCTATGCACTTCACTCTACGCACTTCAGTCTATGTTGTTGTGTCAGGGGGCTCCGCACGGAAGAACCCTTCGCGATGCTTTCGGGAATTAAAGTATAGTACTCCAAAGCCCAGTTTAAACCCTGTTTCACGTCTACGCCTCGGCTCTCCGCGCTTGGACCCTGCAGGGACGGGCTATGGACCCTCTCAAAAAAAACTGTTTCGAGTTTAGGGCTTGGGGTTTTGGATTTAGGGTCTACGGTTTTGGGTACAAAACAAGTGTTGAAATCTCTACATGCAACGGGGTTGATATCACCGTGAGTGCATATATTGAGTGAACTTTGAGGGATACTAGCAATAAAACCATACTGTACATGTATGGCCCGACCCTGCGCAAAGGATGAATACGATTCTCATGATTCTTCATACCTTTTGCCGAGGGCTTCGAAAGCAACACCCTAAACCCTAAACCCTGAACCCTAAACCCTAAACCCTAAACCCTACACCCTCAACCGTAAACCCTAAACCCTGAAACCCAAGCCAGGTGCATAGGAGACCACGAAGATCAGCTTGTTGACCCAGGCGTCGAGAAGGTCTTTCCGTTTCCTGGGCTCCAAGCGACGTTGTAACAAAATGCAGAATCCACACCCTCAAACTTCTAGGGTTTTGGGTTTAGGGTTTAGGGTCTGGGGTTTAGGGTTTAGGGTGTAGGGTGTTTGGGTCCCAGGAAGGTCCCAGAGGGGCCCCACCGTCCCAAGGGCGGGGTCCCACCAATTAGGAGGTTAGACGCCAATGGTGCGAGGTTTGGGGTCCTACTTAGAAAAAGGGCTGACGCCCTAGGTCTGAGGCGTAGCCAGTCACTGCCGTCTCGTCTACCGGGAGGCTTTACCCTCCCTCACCGTTCTGTGGAGACGCTCGGTCGGGGACCTCGGTCGAAGCCTCGAGCGCCCATGCATATGGACAGCGGCGCTCTCGGCAGTTTAGGGTTTAGGGTCTAGGGTTTAGGGTTTAGGGTTTAGGGTTTAGGGTTTAGGGTTTAGGGTTTAGGGTTTAGGGTTTAGGGTTTAGGGTTTAGGGTTTAGGGTTTAGGGTTTAGGGTTTTCAGGGTTTAGGGTTCAGGCCTTTAGCGTTTAGTTTTCAAGGTGTGGGAGTACGGGCTTCGGGCGCAGGGTTTCGCTGGGGTTGAAGGCTGAGAGGGCCTAACATGATGGGATGGCGAAGAGGGGCTTGCGCCCAAGGAGCCCAAGCCTCACGGCTACTTTAGGGTTTAGGGTTGTTTAGGGCTTAGGGCTTTTAGGGTTTAGGGTCTAGGGTCTAGGGTTTAGGGTTTAGGGTACCCTTGAATTAGAGCTTAGAGCTTAGAGCCTTTGGGCTTTTTCAGGGCTTAGGGCTGAGAGTTTAGGATGCTCCTGGCCCAAGAATTTTCGATCCAGAGTAGCGAGCTCTGACTAATGAATGCTTGGACTTGAGATGCTGAACCCTACAAACCCTAAGCCCTAAACCCTAAACCCTAAACCCCAAGTCCAAACCCTCAACCCTCAACCCCCAACCCTCAACCCTAAACCCTCAACCCTACTGTACAGAAGAATAATCTCCGCGAAGGCTCGGCTTCAGGAACTGGGAGTTGATCTCCTGCTTGGGGGCGGGGGGGGGGGTTCAGCTTAGGGTTAAGGGTTTAGGGTTTAGGGTCTAGGGTCTAAGGTTTAGGGTTTAGGGTTTAGGGTTTAGGGTTTAGGGTTTAGGGTTTAGGGTTTAGGGTTTAGGGTTTAGGGTTTAGGGTTTAGCGTGTAGGGTTTAGGGTGTAGGGTTTAGGGTTTAGGGTTTGGGGTTTTGGGTTTCGGGTTCGCAGGGTTTAGGGTTTAGGGTTTAAGGTTTTTGTTACGTACAATAGACACACCTTTTCCGCTCGACAGCCCACTGTGGAAACCCCGTTTAGGGTTTAGGGTCTTCGGGGGCTTTTGAGCTCAGGTTTGAGTGGGGGTCTGGGAGGTATTGAGGGAGTTGCTGTAGGGGTTTAGCTGGGGTAGGGGCGTTGAGGTTGCAGTTGCATATGCATTTGGGGGCAGTTCGTGTTGTAAATGAATCGAAACATAATATAGGGGCCTTAGTAATTAGAATAGGGTTTTGGGGGGATTACTACAGTATATTTATGAAGGGACCATATGGGAACAACATAGGTAATTATGCCGGCCCCTATAGTAGACGAGTCATACTGTGGCCACCCATGGCCTACTATTTGCTTAAGAACCCCAAAAATACGTTTTAAAATAAGTAGAATGATACGAATAATCATCATCATCATCAGCAGCAGCAGCATCATCATCAGCATCATCATCATCATCTTCTTCCTTCGCAGTGAGAGTCGTCCCTCAGCTAGCGTGCGCTACAGTGTGGTTCATCTTGCACACCGGCCGATTACACGGCTTAGCACGTATGCTCTTAGAGAAAAGCCGCTTGCTATTGAAGCGGGGTCCCTGTTTGTACTCAAATAAAAACTCATCGTTCAGTCATCTCCCAGGCTTGCATCTGCTAAGGGCTCGCTGCCCTTGTGAAGAACCTCCTTATATCCTGCGCAGTGACAGAATTGGCTTGTCCATGAATCAGTCCACGGTTTCCAGATTGATGATGCGAGGCAGGACCCGAGCGTACTGGTTGTGAGCTGACTTCTGGCTCTGACGACAGTAGCACGCTTTCTGGTCGCAGATTCATCATCATCATCATCAGCATCATCATCATCATCATCATCATCATCATCATCATCATCATCAGCATCATCATCATCCTTATGTTTCCCTTACAAGGAATAAAAGTCTTATTTTTTTGGGGGGGGTTCTTAAGCAGTTCGGCCAGGTCGTTGCCAGTCCTGCACCTCCTCGGCCAGGTGAGGCAGCCACTTCTTCACCTCGCGGGTGTGCGTGGTTTAGGAGTTTGGGGTAATTAAACCCTAAACCCTAAACCCTAAACCCTAAAACCTAAACCCTAAACCCTAAACCCTAAAACCTAAACCCTTCTCAAGGGTTCTCTCATGTACCTCCTTGACCCAGTTCTGGACCACGGTCGTGGGCGCGACGACCAGCATGGGCCACTCCTACACACGCGCGCCAAGGAATGGGAGGGGGGGTTTAGGAGTTTGGGACTAGGGTTCAGGGCTTAACCCTCATCTGCGCACCCTTCTGATGGGGGAACCTCAGCCCCTCCGAGAAGCACTGATGCTACATCCAAAACCCTAAACCCTAAACCCTAAACCCTAAACCCTTGTCAAATGGAAACCCACCCCCACAAGCGAGCCAGTGGTCGGTTGAAACTCAAGAAGAAGCTGTACTCCCCATCAGTACCATGATGTCAATGCTGCCTTGGGCTTTGTGTAAGCATGTTCAGGCTAAACCCTAAACCCTAAACCCTAAACCCCCTCCCCTCCTCCGAGTAGACCTGAGCGACAACCAAGGAGGAAAGCGTCTTGCCAAGTCCCATCCTTGGCTCAGGTTTGTTTTGGGGGGGTTTAGGGTTTGGGGTTTGGGGTTTGGGGTTTGGGGTTTGGGGTTTGGGGTTTAGGGTTTAGGGTTTAGGGTTTAGGGTTAGGGTTTGGGGTTTAGAGTTTGAGGGTCTAGGGGTTTTGGGGGCTTAGGGGATGGATCACTTGAGGTGCTGTAGGTCACATCCCAGCGGCTCAGCTTGCTCTATGGGGAGCTTAGGGTTTAGGGCTCTAAAGCCTAAACCCTAAACCCTAAACCCTAAACCCAGGGCGCGGCACCCCGACCCTTCCCTCCTGAGCCGCCGGCTCGTCGGCATTGAGGCAGCGGCCCCTGTCAGGTTTTGGGGATCCCGACAGCTAAAGTGGCCAAGGGTTTAGGGTTTAGGGTTTGGGGTTTGGGGTTTGGGGTTTGGGGTTTGGTGTAATTATGGGGTTTGGGGTTGGGGTCAGGGGTCAGGGGTCTAGGATCTGCACTTTGAGGAGCACGGCTTGAAAGTTCAGAGATCAGTAGGCCAGTAGGTGCTTGCCCAGCATCGCCCCATGCGTGCAGACCAGAAACCCTGGGCGCCCGACTCTGGTAACTGTGTGCGGTTTAGGCAGGCTTTTGGGCATTCGTGTCCACCCCTTACTTACTTGAATGGCTGGGGGCTTTGGCGCTTGCCGCTTGCTCATATGTATGCTATTTTTAAGTACATGCACGTAAACAGACATGTACCTCTACATCGACACGTACACATTACACTGCATTGCACTACGCATTAATGGATGCTGAGGGGCAAAGGTGCTACCAACCAGTTAGTTGGACTTCGAGACCCCGAAGCGCACCTCCGAACAAGGCACTCCTTGACGCTGTGCACCTGCTGTGGCCTCTTGAGGGTCACTTTTTCCGGGTTAGGGTTTAGGGTTTAGGGTTCAGGGTTCAGGGTTCAGGGTTCAGGGTTCAGGGTTTAGGGTTTCGGGTTCAGGGTTTAGGGTTCAGGGTTTAGGGTTTAGGGTTTAGGGCTTAGGGTTTAGGGTTTAGGGTCTACGCTGTCTCCTCAACCCTACACCACCCGAAAAATCCGGAGACCCCTAAGTCAACCTGAAACGAGAAGAAAAGTTCTTAACTTGCCCCAAGTTGTACCTCTAAACCTGCAACCGCTCTATACCCTCAACCACGAACGTGGCTCCTCGTTGGCCTTGTACCCCTAACCTCCAGCCCCGAACCCAAGCATGCCCAAAACACGCAGACACACTCCCTCCCCTGATGTCCCAGACCCCACGATCCCAGCCCCTTATTGAACCACTAAGCCCCAAACCCCATTTTCAGCACACCCCGATCACCCAAATATCTCTACCCCCCAAATCCGGCCTCAAGGCGGCTTGCATCTCTGGAAAATCGCGAAAGTAGGCCGCGAGCCTCTCTCGCAAACGATAGGAGGGGTGGTGGGGGGTTTGCGTTGAGGTCTTTCGGGCTTCCTGGGCTGGGAGGGCTGCTGAAACTTTCTAGTTCTAAGTAGGGCAAGTAGGGTATGGGGGCATGGGGGGGGAGGGGGGGGGGGCCCTTTACGGGCTAGAGGGAACCTCATGCCAGTAAAAGGGTCTAGGTTTAGGCTAGGATGAACCCTAAACCCTGAACCTTAAACCCCTAAACCAATGTTAAGCCTAAAAGCCTTCAAAAAAAAACAGCCTACAAACCAGGGCTTAGGGTTCAGGGCTTCGCTTCGTTCAGCTCGGCAAGGTCAAGCCTACATTCGCATCTTAGCTTCTAGTTCGAGCGCATCCCAAATCCCTAAGCCCTGAAGCCGAAACCCTAAGCCCTAAACCCTAAACCCCAAACCCTAAACCCTCAACCCTAAACCCTCAACCTGGAGGAAGAGGGGCTGTGCCTCTCATCCGCCTCCTTGTAAAGCTCGACGGCACCTTCGGGCACCCGAGACGCAGTGTCAGGGTTTAGGGTTTGGGGTTTAGGGTTTGGGGTTTAGGGTTTAGGGTCTAGGTTTGGGGTTTGGGGTTTGGGGTTTGGGTTTGGGGCTTGGGGTTTGGGGTTTGGGGTTTGGGGTTTGGGGCTGGGGCTTGGGTTTGGGGGTTTGGGGGTTTGGGTACGGGGTTTGGGGTTGGGGTTGGGGTTTGGGGTTTGGGGTTTGGGGTTTTGGGGTTTGGGTTTGGGGTTTGGGGTTTGGGGTTTGGGGTTTGGGGTTTGGGGTTGGGGTTTGGGGTGTGGGGTTTGGGGTGTGGGTTTGGGGCTTGGGGTTTGGGGTTTGGGGCTTGGGGCTTGGGGTTTGGGGTTTGGGGTTTGGGGGTTTGGGTGCGGGGTTTGGGGTTTGGGGTGTGGGGTTTGGGGTTTGGGGTGTGGGGTTTGGGGCTTGGGGTTTGGGGTTTGGGGTTTGGGGCTTGGGGCTTGGGGTTTGGGGTTTGGGGGTTTGGGGTTTGGGGTTTGGGGTTTGGGGTTTTAGGGCTTGAGGGTTTAAGAGCCGTTGCCAGCAAACCACAAGATCCGGTAACTCCTTGACACAAACCCTAAACCCCAATAGCTTGTCCAGGGTTGCCAGGTCATGTCGGATTCTGCTCGACGTGCTTGCGTTGAACATGCCAGCTTTGCAAACTGGGCTGCCATGTGAGGCTTGCCCGGCACCCTAAACCCTACACCAATGCCCTAAGCCCTAAGCCCTAAACCCTAAACCCTAAACCCTAAACCCTAAGCCCTAAACCCTAAACCCCAAACCTCGAAGAAGGTTACGTGAAGCTATGGGTTGTAGGGGAGATTGACGAGCAGGGCCTCGGCATCATCTGGCCACACCGAAACACATCGTCCGGCACACCCAGGCACAGCATCCGTTACGCTGAAACACATCCTCCGTCACACTGAAACGCATCGTGTGTGTGTGGATCCCTTGTACATCCTTGTACCGGAGAGGGGTTTATCGGCTACGAGGCCCATCAGGAGTCGCGCCTTTTCTGGCACAGGAGGGTGGAGGGGGGTTCTGAAAACGGCGGTCACTTTCTTGGTACACCTAAGAACCAGGATCTGCTAGGAAGGAGAGCCAAAGCAGGCCCCCTTCTATGCTCCCCTTATGTTTGATATCCTCCTGGGTTTTAAAGAAACGAAGATAGAAAGCAATTCCCAAGGGGGATATAGCCTTAATTCAGATGTGATCTTGGATCTACAGTCAGCATGACACAGGGGTGCAAAGGCCCAGCACGCTGGCCGCAGGAGACTCGGGCAAACCTTCTAACGTGCGTTCATGAAACGAAGCGCCAGCTCACCTCTCTAAGAAATGTTGAACACATCTTTGGCATACCCTTAAACAAAATTAAGGGGTACTTGTGGCAAAAATCCTTCCTTATATTCTGCTCTTGTAGGTTGGGGCATGTTGCAATTCTTCTTAGAAACACCCCAAGTAAAGATTCTGGAAGAGGTTGGCCTCCGCTTCGTTTTTCCAGCATCTCGGAATATTGGACCTGGGCAAACTATAGGGACCTTGTGGGACGGTGGGGGCTTCCTGCTCTGGGGCTTTAGGGCGCAGGCCCTCCCAACGAGGGGATTTGGATTTAGGGGTTTGGGGTTTAGGGCTTAGGGTTTTTTAGGGTTTAGGGTTTCGGGTGTAGGGTGTAGGGTGTAGGGTGGAGGGTGGAGGGTGGAGGGTGGAGGGTGGAGGGTGTAGGGTGTAGGGTGGAGGGTGGAGGGTGTAGGGTGTAGGGGTGGAGGGGTGGAGGGTGCAGGGTGTAGGGCGTAGGGTGTAGGGTGTAGGGTGTGGGTGTAGGGTAGGGTGTTGGGTGTAGGGTGGAGGGTGAAGGGTGAAGGGTGTAGGGTGGAGGGTGGAGGGTGGAGGGTGGAGGGTGGAGGGTGCAGGGCGTAGGGTGTCGTGGAGGGTGTAGGGTGTAGGGTGGAGGGTGTTGGGTGGAGGGTGGGGTGAAGGGTGTCGGGTGTCGGGTGTGGGGTGTCGGGTGTACGGTGTACGGTGTAGGGTGTAGGGTGTAGGGTGTAGGGTGTAGGGTGTAGGGTGGAGGGTAGGGTGTAGGGTGGAGGGTGGAGGGTGGGAGGGGGAGGGGGGAGGGCGGGGGAGGGCGGGAGGGCGGGAGGGCGGGGAGGGGCGGGCGGGCGGGAGGGCGGGAGGGGGCGGGGGAGGGGGGGGGAGGGCGGGGCGAGGGCGGGGGAGGGCGGGGGGAGGGCGGGGGAGGGCGGGGGAGGGCGGGGGAGGGGGGGAGGGCGGGAGGGGGGAGGGCGGGAGGGCGGGAGGGGGGGGAGGGCGGGAGGGGGAAGGCGGGAGGGCGGGAGGGCGGGGGAGGGCGGGAGGGCGGGAGGGCGGGGGGAGGGGAAGGGAGGGCGGGAGGGCGGGAGAGGGCGGGAGGGCGGGAGGCGGGAGGGCGGGAGGGCGGGAGGGCGGGAGGGCGGGAGGGCGGGGAGGGGAGGGCGGGAGGGCGGGAGGGCGGAGGGCGGAGGGCGGAGGGCGGAGGGCGGAGGGCGGAGGGCGGAGGGTGGAGGGTGGAGGGTGGAGGGTAGAGGGTGGAGGGTGGAGGGTGGAGGGTGGAGGTGGTGTGGGGTGTAGGGTGTAGGGTGTGGGGTGTTGGGTGTGGTGGGGGTGGAGGGTGGGGTGCAGGGCGTAGGGTGTAGGGTGGAGGGTGTAGGGTGTAGGGTGGTTCAGGTTGAGGTTGTGCAGCAAGCCTCGGTTGTCTTCAACCTCCCACAGTTCAAGGGACTCGAAACCCTGCCCGAAGCCCCTAAACCCTCAAACCCTAAACCCTTTAACCCTTCAACTCCTTTTCCCTAGAACCCTTAAACCCTCAAACCCTCAAACCCTAAGCCCTAAACCCTAAACTCTAAATCCCTTGGAAATAAGGGGCCGGCGCGCTTCTCCGCCCATTTTTTGACATCCTCCTGCTTCTTTGGCACGGGGCTTGGGGCTAGGTTTTCAGGGTTTGAGGGTTGTAGGGCAAGTTGTAGGGTTTAGGGTTCAGGGCTCGACGTTTTGAAAAACGATGTGGGGCTTAAGGGTTTAGGGTCTCTACACCCACGAAAGGATTGCATCCTTGCCGCTTATCAGCCCTGTCCTCGGGGTTCCCAGCTGCCCCAGCTGCAAATGCCTTCCGACAGGGTGAGAGCCAAAAACCCTAAACCCTAAACCCTAAACCTAAACCCTAAACGCTAAACGCTAAACCCTAAACCCTAAACCTCAGCAAGAAAGCCATGGAGCCTATGTGGTTGGTTGTGGGCGCAGTGGGCACCAGGTGGCTTCATGGATTTTCTTGGGGTCGGTTCAAACAGCCACCATGCCCAAAACACTGGAAACTGACAGCGCTGTGGCCACGTAAATCAGCATTCTGCAGAAGGATGTGCGGTTCTGAAACAAGAGGCAACATGATGCGCAAAGATATGGTGATGATGATGATGATGATGATGATGATGATGATGGTCACTACAACAGTGAGAATAGCGGCCATATTTGCAATTCACGTTTTGGCACTTTGCAGCCCATCAAGCCACCAGACACCCTACGCGCCGGCATTTTACAATGAGGAAGTGGATCGCTCGAAGCGGACAGAAGTCTGATAGACCAAGGTGGCACGAGGGCGATTGTACACTCAAGGAAGTTTCTGCACAGCTGCTCGTCATGCGGAGTTGTGCAATGGATGATGCGCTCGAGAAGTCAAAGCTTGTCAAGCACCGATTGAATATGCTGCATGCTGCTTTCAATCTGCTCTAACTGTTCCAAACGCTGGAAGTAGAATTAGGCAACGGAGAGGCCTTTTGGTCAAAGACTGCAAGTAGAATCAGGGAGCGCGCGAGACTGCGCGACTCAACAGACAGCTGAAAAAGTTTCTCACACAAATGGCAGGCTTCATTTGATGGACAATGTGGTTGGGGAAGCTGGGTCGTTTACACAAACCATGTATAAGGGCTACCAGGCATATTTGTTGGCATGCACCAAAATCGGTGAACCCGTTATATACCTGCAAAAATATCTGATCCCTATTGCCGCAACCACCAAAATGGGTGCCTCGTTTTTGAGGAAAGACATAGATACCTACTAAACCCTAAACCCTAAACCCTAAACCCTAAACCCCAAACCCTAAACCCTAAACCCGAAACCCTAAACCCTAAATCCCATAATCCCCTGTTATCAGACTATGGAGTCGGCTCTTCAGCGACCATTTTCGTACTGAGGGGTGAGGGTGTTGGGGGTTCAGGGTGTTAGGGGTTTTATGGTTTGGGGGCTTTAGAGTTTGGGGGCTTTAGGGTCTTAGGGTTTTAGGATTGGTGCTTTAGGGTCGTGGAGTGTTGGGATTTTGGGGTTCTGGGGGGCTTTAGACTCTTAGGCGTTTAGGGTCGTAGGGTTGTAGGGGTTCAGGGCTTGTAGTCAGAGCATTTTGCGGCTCAGGGTTGTTTTAGGATTAGGGGTGCTGTCAGGTCTGCAGGGGCTCTCCTGGCCCAGACAAGGGTTCAGGGTTCAGTGTTTAGGGTTCAGGGTTTAGGATTACACCCTGTACCACACGCACGTGAAACCCTGCCTCCCCAAACCCCAGCCCTCCCCGCTCCCTCCCGGCTCAAGCCCTCAACCCTAAACCCTAAAACCTAAACCCTAAACCCTAAACCCCTACACCCCAAACCCGAACCTGAATTGCAAAGTCCCAGGGCGTTCCGCCTGCTGAGCTGCCAATCTCCGGGGCTGGGGCACCGCCGCTTTGGGCGCAGTGGCTTCCTCTCTTCGGGAAGCCCCAGAAGGATTGGTTAAGGGAAGATTTAGGGTTAGGGTTCAGGGTTTAGGGCTTGGGGTTACAGGGTTTAGGGTTTAGTGGGGGGCTTCCTAGTTGAGGGATGTCGGCCTCTCAGCATGTATGGTTCAAGAACTACAGCCCGTCTCACCAAAGCAAAAAAAGTGCCATCGCTGCCGGCACCTTCATTGAACCATGTGCATCATACAGATGGGCCACAGCATCCTGACTAGGCCGACCCTGAACCCCAAACACTGAACCCTAGAATTCCAAGCCCTGACCCCGAAAAACCTCTTCGCGCCGAATCTTAAAGACCGGAACTCCGAAACTGGCCACCAGATCAACAGAAAGGATGCTTGCTGACATGCCCCGGGATACTCTAATCCTGATTGTTCTGGGAACTCCCTGAGGTTACCCGTGATGTTCAGAAGCCCGACCCATGCTTAGCCCTTTAAGCCCCTCAACCCTGAAACCCTAAGGGCCTAACACCTCAAACCCTGAAAGGGGGCCGGGGTCCAACGAACGCCTCGGAAACGTCTTGAGAAGCGAGTTCTTCGAGGCGTGCAACCTTTTGGGGCTTAGGCGCTTCTGGGGTTTGGGGGTTGTGGGGTTGAGGGCTTTTAGGGGTGTGGGGGTTTAGGGGTTTGGGGGGTTAGGGGGTTTAGAGGCTTCAGGGGTTGAGGGTCTGGGGTTTCATGGGCTTGGGTGCTTCGATGGAGGGCATCCAACTTTTGGGGCTTGAGAAGTGTGGAAACTAGGGTTTGAGGCTAGAGGTTTCGTCCTAAACCCGAAGCCCCAAGCCCCACCACCCAACGATCACAAGCAACCCTCCACTTGCAAACCCTAAAGCCCAAAACCAATTGCTGAAGCCTCGGCCCCCCCAAATCCCGGAGACCAAGCCCCTTGAAAAATGGCGTGAAAAATTGACCGCGCCTAAAGCCTAAGGCCTGAACGCTACAAGCCCGAATTCAACCCTAAACACTAAACCCTCAACCTAAACCCTAAACCCTAGAGAACCCAAATCCCTGAGCCCCATGAGCCCTAAACCCCTGTAAGGTTGGAGAGATGAGTGGCTTCTCCGGATGGCCCTGCGGAAGCTGCTGCTTCGGCACTACTCTATTAAGGGTTTAGAAACAGTTTCGGGTTTAGGGTTTAGGGTTTAGGGTTTAGGGTTTAGGGTTTAGGGTTTAGGGTTTAGGGTTTAGGGTTTAGGGGTTTCAACACGTGCCATACTGGTCTAGCAGTCACGAAGAAGACACCCCTGCAAGCCCGAAGCCCCCCCCCACCCCCCACAAGCCTTAAAACCCCCCTGGGCCCGCTGCTAGTTCGGCTTTCCGCCCACTCACGGTGCCGCCCCGCCGCCCTGGGCCGGGGGCAAAGGGCTTCTGGGCCCCAGGTTTTGGGGCTTGGGGTAAAAGGGTTTAGGGTTGAGGGTTTAGGGTTTAGGGTCTAGGGATTATGGCTTAGGGTTTACAAGGGTAGGGTTGGTCAGGTTCACAGGGCTTATGCGGCGTGACGAGTCTACCGTGCAGTGGACCAGCGCTGCAGCCTAGGCCCCTGCGACCCCAAACCCTGGACCCTGAACCCTGAACCCTAAACCCCAAACCCTGAACCCCTAAACCCTACACCCTAGACCCTAAACCCCTAAACCCCCCAAACCCCCCAAACCCCTAAACTCTAAACCACCAAAGAAACCCTCAAAACAACCGGGCAGCGACCATCCTCAACGCCCTGGAGGGCCTCCGACATCCTTTGAAGCCCCTGACCTTTCGAAGCAGCCCCTTAGCCTTTCATGTTTTGGGGGCGGAGTGATCCATCGGGGTTTAGGGTTTAGGGTTTAGGGTTTAGGGTTAAGGGTTAAGGGTTAAGGGTTAAGGGTTTAGGGTTCAGGGTTCAGGGTTCAGGGTTCAGGGTTTAGGGTTTAGGGTTTAGGGTTTAGGGTTTAGGGTTTAGGGTTTAGGGTTTAGGGTTTAGGGTTTAGGGTTTAGGGTTTAGGGTTTAGGGTTTATCCATCTTGAACCCTCGGCTCTGTGCCGCGAGCGCAGCTCTTCTTTGAGTTGGACGACCGTCATGGCCTCGCCACCGGCGTGCGACGGCTTCGAGGGGTTTAGGGTTTAGGGTTTAGGGCTTAGGGTTTAGGGTTTAGGGTTCAGGGTTTAGGGCTTAGGGTTTAGGGTTTAGGGTTTAGGCTTTGGGTCTATTTCGGGGTTCTTGGGTTATTTAGGGGCGGCTTCACACAATGGGCTCCTTTGGGTATCTTAGAGGTTTGGGCGTAGGCCGGAGGGTTGGAACAGAGTCCGCAGCACATGGGCTGACCGATGGTGACTTAGAATGGGCATTTCGGATTTTTTTGGGTGGGGGAGAGGGTTTGAGAAGGTGTGGCAACTCCAATATGGGTACCACCTCAGAGAACGCAAATCAACCCAAAACCTCAAAGCCCTGCACTGTTTCTCTACGATTTGCTTAAGAACCCCCCCCCCGGATACTAATCCCCACATCACCCTTGAAAGGAAGAACATCGGTTGTTTGTAAGCAAATATTAGTTTTGTGGGGGCATCCGCTGCCTCGTGGTGCTTTTTCGCACTTGGCCTGGGCACGACCTGGCACAGTTGAAATCAGATTTGAGTGCAAAAACGAGCGAGCACTGAAGGAGAAGGGCTTAGGGTTTAGGGTTTAGGGTTGTTTAGGGTTTAGGGTTTAGGGTTCAGGGTTCAGGGTTCAGGGTTCAGGGTTCAGGGTTCAGGGTTCGGGTTTAGGGTTTAGGGTTGAGTACTGCCTGAAGCGAGGTTGTGGCTCGACCGACCATGTGCTTTGCAGGAGCAAGGCCCACCGGTGTCCACTGCTCAGGGTTTAGGGTTCAGGGTTTAAGGTTTAGGGTTTAGGGTTCAGGGTTCCAAAACTGCAAACCCGAAACCGGTAGCAAAATCAAATGAGCCGAGCGCGCAGGCTTGGTTACGCATCCAACCGCACGCGGCTATCCACACACAGACGGACCGCCGGAGGACCTGAGGAATCTCAAACAGCCCAAAATCCCTCCAAAATCCCTCCAAAATCCCTCCAAAATCCCTCCAAAAACCCTAAACCCTAAACCCGAAACCCTAAACCCTAAACTACAAAGAGGCCCCTAGATGGAAAGCCTCGGGCCTCCGGAGCCTTGACCTGCGCGAACAAGGCTCTCCTGTGCCCAGCGAAGGCTCAGGAGTCTGAGGGTTTCGAGGGCTTAGGATGGCTTGGGGTTTGGGGTTTGGGGGTTTGGGGGTTTGGGGGTGTGGGGGTTTGGGGGCTTAGGATGGTTTGGGGTCTTAGGATGGCTTGGGGTTTAGGGTTTGGGGGTTTGGGTCTTGAGGTTTGGGGTTTCGGGTTTCGGGTTTGGGGTTTAGGGTTTAGGGTTTAGGGGTTTGGGGGTTTGGGGGTTTGGGGGTTGGGGGGTTGGTTGGGGTTTGGGGGTTTGGGGTTGGGGTTTGGGGGTTTGGGGGCTTGGGGGTTTGGGGGTTTGGGGGTTTGGGGGTTTGGGGGTTTGAGGTTTGGGGGTTTGGGGGTTTGGGGGTTTGGGGGCTTGGGGTTTAGGGTTTAGGGGTTCAGGGTTTAGGGTTTGGGGTTTGGGGTTTGGGGCTTGAGGTTTGGGGTTTCGGGTTTCGGGTTTGGGGTTTAGGGTTTAGGGTTTAGGGGTTTGGGGGTTTGGGGTTTAGGGTTTAGGGGTTTAGGGTTTGGGGTTTGGGGTTTAGGGGTTAGGGGTTTGGGGTTTGGGGTTTGGGGGTATGGGGTGTGGGGGTTTGGGTTAAGTCGTTAGGGTTTGGGATGGTTGGGGGATTGGGTTTGGGGCATAGCTTAGGGGTCAGGATGGTTGGGTTCAGGGCTGGTGGTTCAGGGTTGTTAAAGGGTTCTGAAGTATGGGCACTTGGGTTTCACAGGGTGTATAAGGGGTATATTAGGGGTCCCCTTTTAAGGGCCCATACCAAGGGACCACGCAACTTGGGAAGTGCAGGGCTATGTACTTAGAATCGGTACCTTGGGTCGCTGATATGGTATGGGGCTTCCAAAAGTAGGAGTACTCTTTTGGGGGTTCCGATTGGATGACAGCATCTTGGGGCATATCACGGGTGCCCCCATATTGGGAGATTCCCATATAGGAACCATGCGGGGATAATATTGGTAATGGGCGCGGCTCCTGTATTCGTTCTCTAAATTAAGGCCTGCTATTCTGAGGAGAATACTTTCTTCATCCAGGACCCCAAGAAAGACCTGCATTTAGAGAACTGCCCAGTTAGGGTCTAGGGTCTAAGTCCGCGATGTAGGGTTTAGGGTTTCCTAATGACGACTAGGTCGTGACGTCTGACGTGGATGAACCCTGTAGGCTTGAAGATTCAGAAAGGGGGAGGACAGGGGGGGACTGCAGCCGAGAAGCATCGCATCTCAAGAGTCTGAAGAGAGCGGCCCTCGCAAAACTTATTGCTTTGAGGGGGTTCCTCGGGCAAATCCTGGCAAACCCTAAACCCTAAACCCTAAACACCGCCCAAATCGACCCTCCAGGATGCCTGGTGCTGGTCAGCACGGCTGCGAAGATGGCAGCTGCGAAGGCGAGGGAGACCTCGAACCGCACTCACGATCTGACACGCTGAGCTTAGCAAACCATGGTTTAGGGTTTAGGGTTTAGGGTTTAGGGTTTAGGGTTTAGGGTTCTGAACCCCTGAGCCGTAAGCCCTAAACCGCCGAAGACCTTGAGCCCGAAACCCCAAGCCCTGAGCCCTCGAGGCCCTATGAGGCCCTCAACCCTGAGCCTTCAAACCGGTACCGAGACACCGTGAGTCAGGGCCGGGAGTCTTTCAGGCAAACGCTTATGTCACGCCCAAGTCATCCCCCAATGAACCGCAGGAAAACAGATGTCATGCCTACGTCATGCCTCTGCCCGTTTCCCCCAGCGACCGCATACACCCAGGGAACTCAAAAAAATAATTCTTAGATTGACCAAGTCGAGCCCCAGAGCGGTATCTGCAGCACCTAGAAGACAACCAAAACGCAACAGAAAAAACCCCAGTGACCGCAAGAAATATCTGGCCGTTCAAGTTAAGCTGCATTTGCCATACTGCCCCTCTTGAACACCAAACCGCCCGCCCTTGTTTCATCAATGCTTGTTCTTCTTCTTCTTATTCTTCTTATTCTTATTCTTCTTCTTCTTCTTCTTCTTCTTCTTCTTCTTCTTCTTCTTCTTCTTCTTCTTCTTCTTCTTCTTCTTCTTCTTCTTCTTCTTCTTCTTCTTCTTCTTCTCTTCTTCTTCTTCTTCTTCTTCCTCTTCTTCTTCTTCTTCTTCTTCTTCTTCTTCTTCTTCTTCTTCTTCTTCTTCTTCTTCTTCTTCTTCTTCTTCCTCTTCTTCTTCCTCTTCTTCTTCTTCTTCTTCTTCCTCTTCTTCTTCCTCTTCTTTTTCTTCTTCTGCTGCTGCAAGTCGGACTTCTTCACGTGCCTGCCTTTGTACTCCACAAGTCTTCCTCCAGGCATTTTGCCAGGAGCGACGACTTGTGAATGGAGAGAAATCACCTCGATCGAGAGATGCGGAGCGAAAATTCTTCGAGAGCGGCGTCCGGCGTAGCTTGCCATTCCGCAGCCAGGATACGAACTTTCCAGGGATTTGTCAAACTCTCCTGTGCGGGGGATGCGCGGAAGCGCCGCGGCAGCTCCGCGGAAAAGGGAAGCCTCGTTTCGTGGCCCTGCTACGCAAAGCAGCTGGAACACCCGCATCAATGTCTCCAAGGGGGCAGATTCGGCATGAATCAGCGCAGCTAGGTCTCCGAGCACGAGCTTTGAAGGTTTTGGATCTCTTGTTTATCCTGAAAAAATCATCTGACATATATCCTGTGCCCTGCAGCTTTCCCTGGCCAAGCAAACAGAACAAACAATTCAGTATCTTGTCTACCTTATCGACATCCATGAAACCCCATGGCGATGTGAATCACCGTGTACGGCTTTTAAGGCGTGACTTCCGGAATTCTCACCCTCCCGGTGATTACAAGGAGACACTACTTAGACGTAAGCAAGTCCCTGTAACGTACTGTTCTTGCCCTAAACCCGAACATAGGGAATGCTTTGTAGGGAATGAGAGAATTAGGTGCCCCATACAATCCCTTAAAGGGTATCCGTACTAAGAACCAGCAAGTAAAACGCCAGGTCCCTGAGCCCCTGAACTTTAGGGTTCAGGCTTTAGGGTTCAGTGTTCAGAGTTCAGGGTTTAGGGCTTTAGGGCTTAGGGTTTAGGGTTCAGGTGACGCCAGTTGGGTGCCAGGCCAGATGCTTCTTTGGCCCTCGCTGGGGCGGCCTGTCAAGGAGGCCTTAAGCCTCCGAGGCCCCGACCCCTAAAACCCCTAAAACCCTAAAAGCAACCCGTATAAAACCACAACCTAGAAAGCCCCTAGAAAACCCCTAAAACCCCTAAAGCCCCTAAAGCCCCAAAGCCCCTAAGCCTGGGAGTTTCCTGCTTTTCGGGCTTTGGGGTGCAGAGGTCACGGAGGGCGGGGCCAAGTCAAGTTGGGAGGTTGAGTTTCCCTAAACCCTAAACCCTAAACATCCCTAAACCCCAAGATCGCCCCAAGCAAACCTTCAAAAACAAAACCCCAGCCAACCTTAAACTCCAAACCCCAAACCCCAAACCCTAAACCCTCAACCCCACCTTAAGTCCTCCCAATCCTACTCCGAGCCCAGTGAGAGGCCCAGGGCGGCCACCTCCGGAACGGGCTCTCTGCAGCTGCCATGGCTTCTGAGATCCAGCGAGGAGCGCTCGGAGAAGTTTCCGGGGTGAAGCGTTCAGGGTTTGGGGTTTGAGGGCTCAAGGTTTGAGGGGTTGAGGGTTTCGGCTTTAGAGTCTAGAGTTTAGGGTTTGAAGGTGTAACTCAGGTTTGAGGTTTGAGGATTTGAGGCCGCCGGGCTGAGGTGAGGCTTCCTGGGACCTGCATTTTTGTGTGGCTAGGTGTGTTCGACCCGTACTACACTGGGTACTTCAAACCAAGGTTTAGCATTCAGGGTTTCAAGGTTCCGAGTTTACAAGTTCAGAGTTTAGGTCAGAGCGCAGAATTTAGAGTTTAGAGTAGAGTACAGAGTTTTGAGCAGGTTCTGGGTTTAGGGACCCTACCATCTGCCAGCAGGGGGAGGGGAGGGGGTGGCTTTGTGAAGGGGAATGAGCCGCAGTCCTTGTGTGGTTTTTCGCAGACTAGGGCTAGGGGTATAGGCTAGGGGCTTCGGGTTTGGGGTTCAGGGTTCCGGGTTCAGGGGTGTATGGGCGAGGGGGTTGGGCGGTTGTGTGGGGTTTGGGGTTCAGGGGCTGTTTTTGGGTGTCAGTGTTTGTAGTGTTGTAGGTGTCGTTCCAGGTGGCTTATAGGGTTCAAGGATGAATTGGGCTGTCGGGCTTAGGGTATAACATTATCCCGCGAGGTCTTTGGGATTCTTGTCCGCGGATCGAGAACAGCTCCAAACACCTAAACTTCAAAAGCCGCAGCAAGCACCAAACGAATCAGGGTTTAGGGTAGTTGAAACCCTAAACTGTACACTAAGCCGTACATCTGAAAACCCACAACCCCAGCCCCAACGAAGAGACACGAAGATTTTTCACAGGAGTCATGCACTGGCGGAGCGACACGATGGAGGTCTGTCGGGCCTGCAGAATCAGAACTGCATTCGTCTTAAGGTTTCGTCTTCACGTATCCGGGATTTGTGAGCTTATTTCGGGGTCAACAGACTAGCTGAACTGTGATGGCCATCCGTCTACTCCTACAACAGTCAATCACGAGAACTCAGCCAAACGATCTTGAGAGCCACGCCTCAATGAAGATGGACAAGGCTTCGTCAGCCCCCTTGGTCTGCAGATCTTCTTCCAACTGCTGCAGCGCCGCCGAAATTTCCCCGTCGATCTCACTGTCCATTGACTCTGCAGTCGCGTCTCGGGGGGCGACACGGGTAGTGAGGCCCTCCATGACTTCCATGAAGGCCGGCCACTTCACGGATTTCACAGCCGCCGATTCGCGGACGAGAAGGCGGAGGAGCCGACATTCCGTCTCGGGGAAGTGCCGCAGCTGCTCTGCGAGGACAGGTGGGATGCTGGTCCCTTTTGGTGCAATGGCTCGGAGCGCAAGTTTCAGTCCCAGTGCTAACACTCCTAACCCCACGGCTCCTGATGCGACCCCTGCGACTGCGAGCCCTGTCACCCCTGTGACGCCTGCGAGCCCTACGAGCCCTCCTCCGAGCCCTCCGAGCCCAAACCCTGCGACCTCGAAATTTGTGAACCTTGCTTCTGCGACCACTGCGGCTGTGGGTGCCCCACCAGCCGACATTTCAGGGGCCTCTGCTGCAAGGTAGTCGGCTACCGCATCAGCACAGATCTCATCAAGGAACTGCATGGGCGTCCGATATTCGGAATTGGACAGGCGGGACAGCCACATTTCCAGCAACCTTCCTCGATCCTCCTCGTTCCTGAAGGCACCTCTACCTTGCCGCTCGTTCCCCGAGGATGATGACCTTGCAGATCCTTCCGAAGATAGAGATTGACCTGAGAAGGCTGACGCACGGCGAGAGCTCGGCGAACTCGCCTTTGATCGTCGCCGCCCACGCGCCACCGCACTCTCCGCGGACAGGCGTCCATCATACAGACTGTGCATGAGGAACCTTGGGCAAGAGGGGGTGTTCGGCTTGACTTCCTTTTGATTGTAGTCTCTGCATGGCTTGCTGGGCTTGGGGACCTGCCAACAAAGAAAGAGATGAACGACTTTTGGTTGCGACCGCAAACTCCCCGAGGCCTTGTCACTTCTGGGCTAGCCCTTCAGCTTCGGGCAAGCTAACTGGGCCTGGAATTTGCACATGCTAGGGCGGTAGTGGCGGTGACCCGTGGCAAGGCACACTCCCGCTTGGAACTCCGGCGTATCCTCGAAGCATCCGCATGCAAATCTCCGGACACTGAGTGTCTCCAAAGCGTCCACAAGACCTCAAGAATCGGAAGCTTTCTTGATGCTTCTGGTTGCTGAACCAATGCAACCCTAAACCCTAAACCCTGAACCCTAATGCACAAGAACCAAAAGCCGCCCCAAGGTCCAAAATTCGATAAGGCTGCCACGCCCAAGGGAACTAACCTCCTGAAACTGCGGGTTTAACACCCTACACTCTACAAACATAGGCATAACCCTATGGAAATTGGGGTTTAGGTCTAAACCCTATAGGTAGGATTTAAACCCATAAGGGCCTGCCCAGGTACTCTTCGTGCCATGCAAGGTCGAACCACCGTCCTGAAACTCCAGGCAGCGCCGATCGTCGGCAACCATGGCGCTGAGTCGACCTGAACAGTTTGTGGAGGGTGGTATAAGTCTCATTCAAAGGCTATATAGGGTTTGAGGGGTTCAGGGTTTTGTGGTTATGTAAGGGTTCCAAGGTTTAGGGTTTAAGGCTTAGGAGTTTAGGGTTCGCAGTCGAAGATCGACCACGTGATGGAATGTCGTTGCTCATAAGGTTCGCAAGTGGGCACCTGTATTCCACAGTTTGCTTCTCGCTCGCGAGCACAAGCCCAGACGCACGGTTTCAGACCTTAGCCCCCTGCGGTTCTAATCAACTCCCACGTGCACTCTCCTAAACACTCAACCCCGAACCCTGGACCTTAAACCCAAAAACCTAGGGTGGAGGGTTTAGGGCATAGGGAACCCTAATCCCTAAATCCTAAACCTTAAGCCTTGCCTGTGCCGCGCAGCCACTCTCCCAAACCTTGGTCACACAATGGCTGTGCTGAGTAAGGGCTCTTTGTTGCTCGGGCTACGTCGCTAACTGCACCCCCCTAAACCCCCAAACCATACATCACCGGCGAAATGCTAAACCCCCTAAACTTTAGACAGGATACGAAATACGAAGTACGAATCCCTCGGGTTTAGGGTTGTTTAGGGCTGTTTAGGGTTTAGAGCTCAGCAATCAGGATTTCGAGGTCAAGCGGCGTCGCACGCGATCGCCCTCGCAGATCCAGACCTGCGATGCCTTGAGGCCCGGACGCGTTCCTTGGCTTTAGGGGTTTAGGGTTTAAGGGTTTAGGTTTTAGGGCTTTAGGATACAGTTCTTGAGGGAGGGGGGTTCAAGGGGGGCTAAGTGACCCAAGGTTCCCTGTAAGTTGGCGGCTCCGGGTTTCCGGCTTCTTAGGGTTTGGGGTTGGCGGTGTAGGGTTTAGGGGTTTAAGGGTTTAGGGCTCTCGGGCTGAGGGTTTAGGGTTTACGGTTTCGAGTTTAGGGTTTAGGGAACCCTAGCCGACGCCCCGAACCCAAGACCTGAACATCATACCCTGTGCTCCTCGAGCCCTGAACGGCGAACCCTGAAACCCCAAATCTAAAACCATAAACAGTAGACCCTCAACCCTAAAACCCCAAAACCTTTAACCCTGAAACTGCGAAAACTTAAAGCCTAAAACCCTAAAACCCTAAACAGTAAACTCTAAAACACGAAAACCTTGGAACTCTACACTCTAAAACCCGAAAAGCCTAAAACCCTCAAACCCTCAAACCCTCAAACCCTCAAACCCTCAAACCCTAAAACCCTAAAACCCTAAAACCCTAAAACCCTCAAACCCTAAAACCCTAAAACCCTAAAACCTTGAACCCTGAAACTGTGAAAACTTAAAACCCGGAAACCCTAAGGCCCTGAAACTCTAAAACCCTCAAACCCTAAAGACCCTAAAGACCCTAAAGACCCTAAAGACCCTAAAGACCCTCAAACCCTCAAACCCAAAAACCCTAAAACCCTAAACCCGTCCAACCACCGCACGAGCATCTTTGGAGCGCCTCCGCCACCCTCTCTCGGACATCGTCGGCCTTCAACCTGGGCCCGCGTAATGTTTAAGAGGGTTTGGGGTTTTAGGGTTGTAGCGTTTTAGGGTTTTAGGGGTTTAGGGTTGTAGGGTTTTAGGGATTTAGGGTTTTTAGGGTTTTGGGGTTTTAGGATTTAGGGTTTTTAGGGTTTTAGGGCTTTAGGGTGTTTTTTAGGGTTATAGGGTTTAGGGCTTTGCATGGGGGTTTTATGTATAGGGTTAAGAGGGTTTGGGGTTTTAGGGCTTTAGGGCTTTAGGGTTTTAGGGTTTTAGGTCCTTAACCCCTAAACCCCAAACCCGAACCCGAAACCTGCTCAGTTTGGGGCGGTGTCAGGTTTTTGGGGGTTTAAGTGTTAGAGTTATCGGATTTAGGGCTTTAAGGCGTAACCCTTAGGGGAAGACTTGTTGGAAGCCGGCAGCACAGGCAAGTGGCCAGGTCACCGGCGGGTCCCCGAGCGGCTCGGGGCGGGACAAGGGCGACACTTGACGGACCAACTGCCGCAGGCCGCCTCAGAGGAGGTCAATGCTCTTAGATATGGTCAATTCTCTACATTCTGGTCCCTTTTGAGATTGCCATTTTCAGGCGGCCCCTAACATTTGAGGTACCCTCAAAGAGACCCGGGAAAGACGGACGGCAAGAAGCCCAAATTGCCGGCCACGAGGCCGGGTATGTCGGTGACGGTGGCAAGGCGGGGGCAACCTGCCCCACGCCAGGCAGGGTGCTGGCTCTTCGCTTCCTTTGTCCACGCCTTCCCAAGGCTGCAAGGCTATGGGGCTTGACGTCCGGGCTCGGTGCAACACCCTGAAACCTGGGCGTGCTTAGGGTTGTGGGCATAGGGTTTAAGGATTTAGGGGTTCAGGGTTTGGGGTTTAGAGGGTTTAGGCTTGGACGGGTTTGGAATCTCCGGCCGCGGCCCTGGTGTCTTAAAGCTTCAACATTACATTTCAAGCTTCGGCATGAAAGGCAGCAGATCTAAAACCGCGGCCTACCCCTCAAACCCTGTTCACCCCTGAACCCTAAACCCTGAACCCTAAACCCTGAACCCTAAACCCTAAACCCTGAACCCGAAACCCTGAACCCGAAACCCTGAACCCTGAACCCTAAACCTGAAACCCCACCAAACCCTTCACAAACAGGTGCAAGCCCAGCCTTGAGTACGTCCAGCAAGTCGAAGAGGTTTCTCCTCGCCACCTGGGTTTGCTTGACCCCTAAACCCCTAAACCCCTAAACCCCTAAACCCCTAAACCCCTAAACCCCTAAACCCCTAAACCCCTAAACCCTAAACCCCTAAACCCCTAAACCCCTAAAAAACCCCTAAACCCCTAAACCCCCCTAAACCCCTAAACCCCTAAACCCCTAAACCCAAACCCCTAAACCCCTAAACCCCTAAACCCCTAAACCCCCTAACCCTAAAAACCCCTAAACCCCCTAACCCCCCCTAAACCCTAAACCCTAAACCCCTAAACCCCTAAACCCCTAAAACCTAAACCCCCCCCTAAACCCCTAACCCCCCTAACCCCCTAAACCCCTAACCCCTAAACCCTAAACCCTAACCTAACCCCTAAACCCAAACCCAAGCCTAAGTGAATGGGAGCTGAACCTCGGGGCTCCGTCTAACGTCCCTGGTGGAATTTGGGGGGGGGGGGGGGGGGGGTGGCGGGGGTGTAGAAGCTAAATGCGTATGGTTGACATAACACAGCATAACATTTGAAACCTTACAACCCTGCTCCACAAGGCCTGCTGCTTCAACTCCCTAAGCCCTAAACCCCAAACCCCGAACCCTCTGTCTGCTTCGATTCCATGCCACCGGCTGCGAAGCCAACAGAATGATCCAAAGACTTCCTCTCGCAAAGACGACCTGCAGGGGTGAGCCAGAAGCGAGCGAAGTGGGACCGAGGGCTTGGGGCTTTCAGGGTTTGGGTCTGGGGAGGAAGTGGCTGCAGAGGGGTTCAGGGTGCTTTCTTTTTCTGCAGAGGGATTCAGGGAGTTTTCTTTTTTGCTTAGGGCTTAAGGTTTCGGGCTTAGGGCTTGCAGCATATGTCGACTCGGAAGGCCGCAAACTCTTTCACTTTTTGGGCTCTAGGGCTGGGGGCTCACGGTTCTCAGAGGGTACCCCCTACTTGGGGAGACACCCGCATCTCTGAGTTACTGGGTCCCCTTTTAAGGGCTGAAAAACTCGGTTGGTCCCTCAAACAGGGAAAATAGAAGCTATCCCAAGGACCTACTAAGAAAAAAACAACGCCGCACCTGGTCGGCAGACAGGCCCAGCTGCGCCATCGCGTCGCAGATACGCCTTTCCAGCGCTGCCTGGGGCTCTTGTTCTTCCCTAAACCCTGGACCCTAAACCTTAAACCCTCTACCCTGAAGCCTAAACAGGCCCGAAACCATAGGTGAGCAACCCAATCCCGTTTAGGTTTTGGCGTTCAAGGTGAGTGCGTGAGTGCGTGAGCGAGCGAGTGAGTGAGTGAACTGGGAAACATGCCACCCGAACCTCCATGCAGCTCGGGTGGGATTTAGGCGCTTAGGGCAAGACAGCCAGCCCACTTCGTTTCCCCTTGTGATCCCTCACATCATGAGTTCCCCTACTACCCCCCTCTATACTACGCCCCCCACCCCCTAGCTTCCCCCCCATAAATAAGGCTATTTAGAACTTAGGGATAATTCAGCCGAATTCAGGTTGTTTAAGGGAGGAACCTGGTGGGGGTAGTATAGAGGGGGGTTAGTAGGCCCATGATCACAAGGGTACGAGGCTGGGGGCATTTGCTCGGAGACAGCTTGGGGTGCGGGGTGGCCGTCCTAATTAAACACGCACACATGCACCGGCAGCAAGACTAAAGAAAAAAACCAGTTCAGCTCATTCCCTCTTGTTTAGCGTTCAAGGTTTAGGGCTTATGAAGGCTTGTTGCTAAGAGGCAATCAAGTTGCCGTCGTGAAGGCATTGAATTCGATACTACGGCATATAACACCGATTATGGCAACTGCAGGTAAGCTGCCGGACACGTAAACTACCCTGAATCCGGGTGTAGGGAAACCCTAAATGCTAAACCCTTGACCCTTGACCCTAAACCCTAAACCCGAAACCCTAAACCCTAATCCAAGCTCGAAGTCCGGAACTACCGAACCCCAAGCCCACAAGCCAGTTCCGACCGTGGCCTTCACCTCAGCGGAACCACCGACATCTCCAGGGATGACAAAGGGATAGTAGAAGAGCCTTTCCTGGGCTCTTATGCAGGATGGGCTTCCTCAACCATCCTCAACCCTCGACCCTGAACCCTAAACCCTCAACCCTAAACCCTGAACCCTGAACCCTAAACCCTAAACCCTAAACCCTAAACCCTCCCCCCCTTTGAACCCAAAGGGAAAAAATCTGCGGGAATGCCTAGTTGCCGTCTTTGACGAAGGCACCTCTGCAACAGATGGTCGACGTTTGAGACCACAAAAGGTCAATGATATTCTGGATCTACAGTGATCTACATGCAGAACATACCTAGATTAGGGTGGACCCTAAATGCCAAAGACACAACGTGCCAAACCAGGCCCAGCCGGCTGTCTCAAGGTCGTAAAGATCTCTGAGGTTGAAGGATTCCGCATAGGTGCAAAGGTCGTCCACGAAGGCCTGCGCGAATCCTGCTCAGGGCCAGTGCTCTTGAAAGCCCTGAACCCGAAAACTCCACAAAAGCTTGAACCCAGAACCTTGAAGCCCGAAAACACCGATGAAACCCCACGCGTCCGCTGCAACTGTGACTATTTGGCTCTTGTCCCTAAACCCTAATCCCTAAACTCTGTTGCATTTTCGCTCACAAACCTGGGCCTGCCAGCTCCTCGTCCGAGTTTCGGTCCACGAAGTCCAGCATGCAACCCGCCATTGGCTCCAGGAAGCTCGGAAGCAGGCCCTTGACATCCAGCGGACTACCTGCCCAGGATTCGCATAATGTAGGGGCCTTCAGAATTAGAGCAGGGTTTTGAGGGGTTCTTATATTCTATTTCTACCGGGACCAGAAGGGAAAATTGTTCCGATCCCTATATTAGGGTTCAGGCCCTAGCTCCTGAGCCCTCCAACCCCTGAACCCCTAAACCCCAGACATAACCATACTACAATAACCCCTGAAAAACCTTTTCCTGAAAAACCTTTTCTAATTTCTAAGGCACATAAGCCCTAAACCCTAAACCCCTTAAACCCCAAAACCCCCTAAACCCAAAACCCTCTAAACCCAAAACCCCCTAAACCCTAAACCCCTTAAACCCCAAAACCCTCTAAACCCAAAACCCTCTAAACCCTAAACCCTCTAAACCCTAAACCCTCTCAACCCCCAAAACCACGATTCGGGCTCCTAAAGAATGAGCCCTGAACTTGGCCGCACTCAGGAGGGTAGCTAGAAATTAAACTTTTAGCGCTGCCTTAAAAAAGAAACCCAATAGACCCAAAAAGGCTAAAGATGTAAAGTTACAGTGAAGCACCACAAAGAGGGCAACCCTGAACACCCTAAACCCCAAACCCTCTTCCCTGAAAGCCCTAAGCCCTAATCCCTGAAAGCCCTAAGCCCGAAGCCCAAAACCCGCAACCCGAAACCAGAAACCCTCCTGAAACCCTAAACCCTAAACCCTAAACCCTAAACCCTAAATCCTAAACGAGCCCTGGAGGAGCATTTGTTTTTGGCGCCTTCGGGTGCCGGAAGGTTTGGAAGCTGCAGCTGCAACCACGCTGCCTGGGAGCTCCCGAGGCTGTGCCCAGAGCGTGGTTTAGGGTTTAGGGTTTAGGGTTTAGGGTTGAGGGTTGAGGGTTGAGGGTTGAGGGTTGAGGGTTGAGGGTTGAGGGTTGAGGGTTGAGGGTTTAGGGTTTAGGGTTTAGGGTTCAGGGTTCAGGGTTTTAGGGTCGAAACCCGGCTTAGGGTTTAGGGGTTTAGGGTTTAGGATTCTCGGGTGAATGGGTTTGAGGGCGTCGGTGCGTTCAAGGGGGCCCTAAACCCTAAACCCCTCAAGTCTGGTCTGGGGGCGACATCCTGCAGGCTTCGCGTCTGTCGGATGCAAAGCAGCCTTAGCTGCGTTCAGGGGTTATGGGTTAGGGATTCAGGGCTGTTTGGGTTTTTCATCGGAAGCACCCTTCCGCGTACGCCGAAAGTGCTATCGACGCTGGTCCAGAATCTCAGACATGAAGATGCTAAACTTGCAGCCTTTATTTTATGCTTCAATCCTCACCCTGAACTACTGTTTGCTGAAGAACCCCCAAGAAATAGTTCCTCCTTATCAGGGGAATATAGGGCTAATTACTTGCACAGTTTTCCTCTTTTTTTTTTGGGGGGGGGGGGGTTCTTAAGAAATAGCAGTTAACCACACGAGTCCCCTTAAACAGGGGGGGGGGGGTTCGGAGTGTAGAGTTGGGGCATGTTGGGGTTTGAACGCCCCATGGGGTGCAGGGTTCCTGAACCCCAAACCCTAAAACCTAAACCCCAAACCCTAAACCCTAAACCCCAAACCCCAAACCCTAAACCCTAAACCCCAAACCCCAAACCCTAAACCCCAAACCCCAAAGCTGCCAATCAGGTCTGAGCAGCTCATGCCGCGTGTGCAGCTGCTGTTGCGTGTCCGCCTCGCGCTGCGCAACCAACCTGCCAACCTCCGCCAGGCACCGGCGCGCGTCTTCGAAGCTGGCCTCCCAGAAGAGACCCGAAAAATTAGGGCTTAGGGTTTAGGGTTTAGGGTTGAGGGTTTAGGGTTTAGGGTAGAACACGCAAAGGCCGGAGCATCTGCATGACATTCTACACACGAAGCGTGCGAACGCAACATTTCTTAGCGCACAGTGCGGGAAACCCCATAAACTTGTGCACCTGTGAAATTAGAATGGGTATGAGGGGCAGCTTGCATTATCATCTTACAAGAGTCAGACGAGAGGGGCCCCCTGTGCCTCCCCCCACGTTGGGCAGACGGCTCGTCAAGACTACGAACCTTTGACACCGACATCCGACATCCCGCATTGAAAACTAAAGCCCCCAAACCCGAAACCCAATTACCTTGAAAACTAAAGCCCTCAGCCCCGAAGGCTCCACCGTCAACCCTAAACCCCAAATCCTAAACCCCAACCAACCCCGAAAGCCTGTTCCAGACACACAGGTCACTGCCGCAATCCTCTGGGGCTGAGGACTCCCCAGGCCAGCAGGTTCAGGTCTAGGGTCTAGGGTCTAGGGTCTAGGGTTTAGGGTTTAGGGTTTCGGGTTTAGGGTTCAGGTCTAGGGCTTGGGGTTTCTCAGGATTTGGGTTTAGGGGGCTAATGTAGAGGGTGTGTGCCTCGACACCCGAAAACGAGAAAGGCACCCTCAATGCTCCGAGCACGATGCAACTTGGCAGACCTGGTCGTTCGAGTCTTTGCCGTGTTCTCGTGCCTCATGCGGGCCGAGCACGATGCAACTTGCAACGGCCGTCAGGCAGAAACGTAGCACGACACATCACCCCCTTTGAGGCCTGATTGCATCTGTCCGTCAGGCCAGGCCATGGCTTTGCTGTCTACACCACAACCCTGGATGTTTGCTGCACGGGCTGCCTACATACGGGACATGTGCCGAGGTCGGCGGTGGCTGCACAGACCGTGCACGCGCAGAGATGCCCACAGGGTAGCAGGACATAGCTCGAGGGCCGTGCGAGACACAGGCAGCACATCTGTACTCGCGGGCAATCAACAGGCTCAGAGGGCGCCGTCAGCTCCAAGAAGGTCTGGACATCTTCCCGAGAAACCACGACCACGCCCTCTTCGCCCAGGCCATTCGCCTTGTCAACCACAAAGAGGCTCTTCCGCGTGCCCTCCTTTAAGGCGGTGACTGCATGAAGCACCTTGCGAGGATGTTGGCACATCGACCCAGCGGGGCGCTCCAGCACGTGTAGGCAGCTGTTGGCAAAGAAACACAGCCTCCCACCTTGGTACTCGGAGTCGTCGGACAGGGCAATCTGCACGGTGCCTGAGGCGTATGGGCCATCGCAGTGGAACTTGATGCACCCGTTGCTCGGTCCCCTCGTCATGCGCAGCGCAACCTTCGATGCACCGCGGCTTTGGGGCGTTCCCGGGATGGCCCTAAAGGCTGATTCCAGCTTCTTGAGAATCCCTGCGGCGTCGCCGGATGTGGCGGAGAGCAGGAGGATGAACTCTTCGTCCGGAAGGTGCATGCGCAGGTCAACCCTGGCACCGTCCGCCGCAGTATTTCGTCCCCACATGAAGTCAAGGAAGTCTTTCAGCAACTTGCAAACAGTAGGGTCCAGAATCCCCGCATCTCGCGTGAAGGCAAAGGTCGACCACGCGTCCGCATCTTCCTCCTCGAACTTCTCTCTCAAGTCTGCCAGGGGAAGCTCGGCTCGCTCGCGGTCTGCGTCCGAAAGCATCAGGTACTGGGAGAGAGCATCCTCTCCGCTGCCTGTGAAGGTGCTTATCATGCCCCTCAGTCGGAGAATCAGATGCAGCCTGTCACCACCTGAAATGTTGTACTCTGAAAGGGTGCGGCCATCTTCTAGCTGTCGCCCGGCGAAAATTATCCGCTGCTGATCGGGCGGGATGCCGTCAGCGTCGAAGATCCTTCCTTTCAGGTTCGCGACCGTGTCAGAGCCAAGCACTTTGAAGCTGAGGGTCTTGCCCGTGAGGGTCTGGATCGAGATCGTAAACTCCATGCTGCACGAGGCCCCCTCAACCCCAAACCCTAAACCCTAAACCCCAAACTCCAAACCCTAAACCCCAAACCCTAAACCCGAAAACCCTAAACCCTAAACCCTAAACCCTGAACCCCGAAACCCGGGCGCAGACAGCTTGAACCAGCAGCTCCCGGAGCAAGAGGGCTCGAGGGGCTGCCCTCGAGCTCCAATCATGTTTAGGGTGTAGGGTTTAGGGTTTAGGGTTTAGGGTTTAGGGTTTAGGTTTTAGGGTTTAGGGTTTAGGGTTTACAGGGTTTAGGGTTTAGGGTTTAGGGTTTAGGGTTTAGGGTTTAGGGTTTAGGGTTTAGGGTTTAGGGTTTAGGGTTTAGGGTTTAGGGTTTAGAGTTCGGGGTTGTTTTGGGCTTCGGGTGTAGAGGTTCAAAGGATCATAGGGGTCAGACCCTAAACCCTAAACCCGAAACCCTAAACCCTAAACCCGAGCCCTAAACCTCAATCTGAAACCCTGATCCCTGAAGCAAGGAAATAGGCCTCCAGCTCATGGCTTGCCATCCGCTCCAGGTGGCGCGCCAGGAAGATGGAGCGGCGAACGCGCCTGGCTTAGGGACCATAGAGCTGCAGATTTCAGGGCTTAGGGTTTAGGGTTGGGGTCACCCCTGCCCCCCCCCCCAAGACCCCTAAGTGCGAACGGTTTCGGTCCATCCTAAGGCGCCCAACCGCTGCGGCACAGCCCTGGAGCTCAAGAAAGCAGGCATTCAACAGCCGTGAGGTTCTGGCTCTTGGGGCTTAGGGTTTCTCAGTTTGCCGGACACCGCAACCCTAAACCCTAAACCCTAAACCCTAAACCCTAAACCCTAAACCCTAAACCCTAAACCCTAAACCCTAAACCCTAAACCCTAAACCCCAAACCCTAAACCCTAAACCCTAAACCCTAAACCCTCAACCCTAAACCCTAAACCCTGGCCTGAAAGTCTCGTCGGCCATGATGGGCCCAGGCTCCACGTAGCTCCGCGGAGGGCCCAGCAGAACTCGGCTGGGCTGCGCCGGCTGCGCCCAGTGGAGATCGACCTTTCCAAACGTCAGCTGCTCCAGGTCCTCCTTCCTGGGACTCATTCAAGGTGGTTTGAGGGTTTAGGGTTTAGGGTTTAGGGTTTAGGGTTTTTTTTAGCGTTTAGGGTTAGGGTTTAGGGTTTAAGGCTTAGGGGGCCCTACGAACATTAACTTCCTGTTGGCTTTGGAATTCTTAAGGGTGCTAGGGTCTGCAAAACGGAGCAAAGATGATGTTAAAGCTCCCTAAACCCTAGACCCTAAACCCTAAACCCTAAACCCTCAACCCCAGCTTCATCCCACGGAGGAGGCTGCTGAGCTCGGAGACCCCAAGCGACAGGTAGTACCGCAAGGCACAGGCCAGGTACCTTGGCCCCCAACGGCCCTCTGAGAAAGACTCCCAACATAAGATCCTCTTAAACCCAATGAAGGGTTTAGGAGTTTAGGGCTCGAAGCTCTTGGAAAAATATCCCAACACCCTACCTAGGCACTGATAGTCGTCGACCTCCTTGTCCTCCCCACACATCCATATGTCGTAGTACGCATTCTCGTCGCTGAGGGTCAAGCCCTGATCTGGCAGGTCTTCTGGCAGCTCGTAGCAGTATGAGCGGCACAGCGCCATAAATGTCACGACTTTGACATCTCTGAGCTCGGCCGCCTCTACGGCGAATAGAACCTCGAAGGGAGAAAGACCCTTTGTGCCGAGCTCGAACTCTGGGGGGCCTCTGCTCAATGTTGAAAAAAGACCCGTCTCTGCCCTGATCGGCGCTTGATCCGGAATCCCTTTGCGATACACACTAGAAACGCTCTGCGTTCTCCTGTTACGTCCTGACGGGTGTGGCGTCTTCCTGCATTTCAGGGATTCAGGCTGCCTACAACAGACACGATGTGGGTCGTTGGCCATGGGATGGGGGGGCCACAAGCCGCTCCGACCTCCTCCTCCACACACAGCCAAGTGGACGGCTCGTCGCTGTCTGGAGCATCTGCAGGCTCGAAGAGCGTGCCACAGTCAGCATGGTGGCCTTTTCCCGCCACAAACACCAACAGCTTCGATCTCTTCAGTCCATCGTCCCAGTAGGAGCCGTCCTTTGAGAACATGAACCCAGGAACCCAAGACCCAAAACCCAAAGCCCAAACCCTAAACCCAAAACCCAGAACCCTAACCCCAAACCCCAAACCCGAAACCCCAAACCCCAAAGCCTAAACCCCAAATCCCAACCCCCAAACCTAAACCCCAAACCCTATAAACCCTAACCCCAAATCCTCAACCCCCAACTACTAAACGAGTAAACCAGGGCTCCCTCAGTCGCCCTGCAGCCAGCCGGAAAGCCTCGCGAATCGCGTCCTTGGCCCCCCCAACGCAGTCGATCGGGTCGCTGCAAAGCCCATACCTGGGTTTAGGGTTTAGGGGTTAAGGGCAAGACCTGTCTAGGTTTGGGGCGCAGGGATTGAGGTCTAGGGGTTCAGGTTCAGGGCTTAGGAGGGCGCCTGCTTCGTCAGAATGGGCATTCAGGGTCGCTAGACCCAAGAGTAACCTAGGAATAAACAAGGGCCTCTTTTTCGGTTTAAAGCGGTTTATGCGGGAACCTAAACCCCAAAAAAGGGGAATGAGGGCCTATTCTGGTCCTAGCCAAAAGTGCTTGTGGACTATGTCCAAGACAGCACGGCCTTCAGCTTCCGCATGCTCGACACCCCGCTTCAGTCGATTGGCAGCAACAACGACCACGACCCAGGAGTCTGCCATGGTGGGAAGAGACACAGACCCACTGTCACTGCCGCATTCGCACCACCCGCGCTCTAAGCCCTAAAGACGACCACCAGCAACTACATGCGACTCAACCTAAAAAATGGCCGCCGAGAGCTGCGATCACTGCATGACTGCGCCTACTGGCCAACACATGCCAACTCCAAATACAGAATGATGATCCCTATTCCTTTTTCGAGTCTCTCAGCACCTGCAGCGTAGCTCCTTCCCTCGTTTGTCAGGGATGCCGCTGCGACTTCTAAGAAGCAATGATCCCCTTAAAATGGGGGAACGGCCCACGTTCAGTGGACTCAGTGGACTGAGCCTGTCTTCATCCTCAAGGGTTGAAGAAGCCGCTGATGTTGGCGAACAAGGATGCAATGCCAAACACAGTAATTCCGATAATGTAGGTGTCCGGAGTCATGTCGCCCAGTGCGCCATCAGCGCCACCTCGTGCCTCCATCTGAACTGCTGGCGCGCGGAGAGACTTGCTTGCAGGTGCTGGAGTTGTGCCCACGAAGCAAAGCATCGCAGAGCAGCCAAGGGCCAACACCAAGAAGGCGAGCAAAGAGCTGGAGCGGGCCATTGCAAATCTTGGGAAAGCTGGCACAGGAGAAGGAGCGACCACCAACAACTATATGCGGCTTAAGCTGAAAGTAGCCGACGCGTGGGCATGCCCGTAGCTGCTGCGATCACTGCATGACTGCGCCTACTGGCCAACACATGCCAACTCCAAGTACAGAATGATGATCCCTATGCCTTTTTCGAGTCGCTCAGCACGCCTGCAGCGTAGCTCCTTCCCTCGTTTGTCAGGGATGCCGCTGCGACTTCTAAGAAGCAATGATCCCCTTAAAATGTGGGAACGGCCCACGTTCAGTGGACTCAGTGGACTGAGCCTGTCTTCATCCTCAAGGGTTGAAGAAGCCGCTGATGTTGGCGAACAAGGATGCAATGCCAAACACAGTAATTCCGATAATGTAGGTGTCCGGAGTCATGTCGCCCAGTGCGCCGTCAGCGCCACCTCGTGCCTCCATCTGAACTGCTGGCGCGCGGAGAGACTTGCTTGCAGGTGCTGGAGTTGTGCCCACGAAGCAAAGCATCGCAGAGCAGCCAAGGGCCAACACCAAGAAGGCGAGCAAAGAGCTGGAGCGGGCCATTGCAAATCTTGGGAAAGCTGGCACAGGAGAAGGAGCGACCACCAACAACTATATGCGGCTTAAGCTGAAAGTAGCCGACGCGTGGGCATGCCTGTAGCTGCTGCGATCACTGCATGACTGCGTCTACTGGCCAACACGTGCCAACTCCAAGTACAGAATGATGATCCCTATTATGCCTTTTTCGAGTCTCTCAGCACGCCTGCAGCGTAGCTCCTTCCCTCGTTTGTCAGGGACGCCGCTGCGACTTCTAAGAAGCAATGATCCCCTTAAAATGGGGGAACGGCCCACGTTCAGTGGACTGAGCCTGTCTTCATCCTCAAGGGTTGAAGAAGCCGCTGATGTTGGCGAACAAGGATGCAATGCCAAACACAGTAATTCCGATAATGTAGGTGTCCGGAGTCATGTCGCCCAGTGCGCCGTCAGCGCCACCTCGTGCCTCCATCTGAACTGCTGGCGCGCGGAGAGACTTGCTTGCAGGTGCGGGAGTTGTGCCCACGAAGCAAAGCATCGCAGAGCAGCCAAGGGCCAACACCAAGAAGGCGAGCAAAGAGCTGGAGCGGGCCATTGCAAATCTTGGGAAAGCTGGCACAGGAGAAGGAGCGACCACCAACAACTATATGCGGCTCAAGCTGAAAGTGGCCGACGCGTGGGCATGCCCGTAGCTGCTGCGATCACTGCATGACTGGGCCTACTGGCCAACACATGCCAACTCCAAGTACAGAATGATGATCCCTATTATGCCTTTTTCGAGTCTCTCAGCATGCCTGCAGCGTAGCTCCTTCCCTCGTTTGTCAGGGATGCCGCTGCGACTTCTAAGAAGCAATGATCCCCTTAAAATGGGGGAGCGGCCCACGTTCAGTGGACTCAGTGGACTGAGCCTGTCTTCATCCTCAAGGGTTGAAGAAGCCGCTGATGTTGGCGAACAAGGATGCAATGCCAAACACAGTAATTCCGATAATGTAGGTGTCCGGAGTCATGTCGCCCAGTGCGCCGTCAGCGCCACCTCGTGCCTCCATCTGAACTGCCGGCGCGCGGAGAGACTTGCTTGCAGGTGCTGGAGTTGTGCCCACGAAGCAAAGCATCGCAGAGCAGCCAAGGGCCAACACCAAGAAGGCGAGCAAAGAGCTGGAGCGGGCCATTGCAAATCTTGGGAAAGCTGGCACAGGAGAAGGAGCGACCACCAACAACTATATGCGGCTCAAGCTGAAAGTGGCCGACGCGTGGGCATGCCCGTAGCTGCTGCGATCACTGCATGACTGCGCCTACTGGCCAACACATGCCAACTCCAAGTACAGAATGATGATCCCTATTATGCCTTTTTCGAGTCTCTCAGCACGCCTGCAGCGTAGCTCCTTCCCTCGTTTGTCAGGGACGCTGCTGCGACTTCTAAGAAGCCATGATCCCCTTAAAATGGGGGAACGGCCCACGTTCAGTGGACTGAGCCTGTCTTCATCCTCAAGGGTTGAAGAAGCCGCTGATGTTGGCGAACAAGGATGCAATGCCAAACACAGTAATTCCGATAATGTAGGTGTCCGGAGTCATGTCGCCCAGTGCGCCATCAGCGCCACCTCGTGCCTCCATCTGAACTGCTGGCGCGCGGAGAGACTTGCTTGCAGGTGCTGGAGTTGTGCCCACGAAGCAAAGCATCGCAGAGCAGCCAAGGGCCAACACCAAGAAGGCGAGCAAAGAGCTGGAGCGGGCCATTGCAAATCTTGGGAAAGCTGGCACAGGAGAAGGAGCGACCACCAACAACTATATGCGGCTCAAGCTGAAAGTGGCCGACGCGTGGGCATGCCCGTAGCTGCTGCGATCACTGCATGACTGCGCCTACTGGCCAACACATGCCAACTCCAAGTACAGAATGATGATCCCTATTATGCCTTTTTCGAGTCTCTCAGCACGCCTGCAGCGTAGCTCCTTCCCTCGTTTGTCAGGGATGCCGCTGCGACTTCTAAGAAGCAATGATCCCCTTAAAAATGGGAACGGCCCACTTTCAGTGGACTGAGCCTGTCTTCATCCTCAAGGGTTGAAGAAGCCGCTGATGTTGGCGAACAAGGATGCAATGCCAAAGACAGTGATTCCGATGATGTACGTGTCGGAGTCATGTCGCCCAGTGCGCCGTCAGCGCCACCTCGTGCCTCCATCTGAACTGCTGGCGCGCGGAGAGACTTGCTTGCAGGTGCTGGAGTTGTGCCCACGAAGCAAAGCATCGCAGAGCAGCCAAGGGCCAACACCAAGAAGGCGAGCAGAGAGCTGGAGCGGGCCATTGCAAGTCTTGGGAAAGCTGGCACAGGAGGACAGGAGCGACCACCAACAACTATATGCGGCTCAAGCTGAAAGTGGCCGCCGAGTGGGCATGCCCGCAGCTGCTGCGATCACTGCATGACTGCTACTGGCCAACACCAAACACAGAATGATGATCCCTATTATGCCTTTTTCGAGTCTCTCAGCACCTGCAGCGTAGCTCCTTCCCTCGTTTGTCAGGGATGCCGCGCGACTTAAGAAGCAATGATCCCCTAAAATGGGGGAACGGCCCACTTTCAGTGGACTGAGCTGTCTCATCCTCAAGGGTTGAAGAAGCCGCTGATGTTGGCGAACAAGGATGCAATGCCAAACACAGTAATTCCGATATGTAGGTGTCCGGAGTCATGTCGCCCAGTGCGCCGTCAGCGCCACCTCGTGCCTCCATCTGAACTGCTGGCGCGCGGAGGACTTGCTTGCAGGTGCTGGAGTTGTGCCCACGAAGCAAAGCATCGCAGAGCAGCCAAGGGCCAACACCAAGAAGGCGAGCAAAGAGCTGGAGCGGGCCATTGCAAATCTTGGGAAAGCTGGCACAGGAGAAGGAGCGACCACCAACAACTATATGCGGCTCAAGCTGAAAGTGGCCGACGCGTGGGCATGCCCGTAGCTGCTGCGATCACTGCATGACTGCGCCTACTGGCCAACACATGCCAACTCCAAGTACAGAATGATGATCCCTATTATGCCTTTTTCGAGTCTCTCAGCACCTGCAGCGTAGCTCCTTCCCTCGTTTGTCAGGGATGCCGCTGCGACTTCTAAGAAGCAATGATCCCCTTAAAATGGGGGAACGGCCCACTTTCAGTGGACTGAGCCTGTCTTCATCCTCAAGGGTTGAAGAAGCCGCTGATGTTGGCGAACAAGGATGCAATGCCAAACACAGTAATTCCGATAATGTAGGTGTCCGGAGTCATGTCGCCCAGTGCGCCGTCAGCGCCACCTCGTGCCTCCATCTGAACTGCTGGCGCGCGGAGAGACTTGCTTGCAGGTGCTGGAGTTGTGCCCACGAAGCAAAGCATCGCAGAGCAGCCAAGGGCCAACACCAAGAAGGCGAGCAAAGAGCTGGAGCGGGCCATTGCAAATCTTGGGAAAGCTGGCACAGGAGAAGGAGCGACCACCAACAACTATATGCGGCTCAAGCTGAAAGTGGCCGACGCGTGGGCATGCCCGTAGCTGCTGCGATCACTGCATGACTGCGCCTACTGGCCAACACATGCCAACTCCAAGTACAGAATGATGATCCCTATTATGCCTTTTTCGAGTCTCTCAGCACCTGCAGCGTAGCTCCTTCCCTCGTTTGTCAGGGATGCCGCTGCGACTTCTAAGAAGCAATGATCCCCTTAAAATGGGGGAACGGCCCACTTTCAGTGGACTGAGCCTGTCTTCATCCTCAGGGGTTGAAGAAGCCGCTGATGTTGGCGAACAAGGATGCAATGCCAAACACAGTAATTCCGATGATGTAGGTGTCCGGAGTCATGTCGCCCAGTGCGCCGTCAGCGCCACCTCGTGCCTCCATCTGAACTGCTGGCGCGCGGAGAGACTTGCTTGCAGGTGCTGGAGTTGTGCCCACGAAGCAAAGCATCGCAGAGCAGCCAAGGGCCAACACCAAGAAGGCGAGCAAAGAGCTGGAGCGGGCCATTGCAAATCTTGGGAAAGCTGGCACAGGAGAAGGAGCGACCACCAACAACTATATGCGGCTCAAGCTGAAAGTGGCCGACGCGTGGGCATGCCCGTAGCTGCTGCGATCACTGCATGACTGCGCCTACTGGCCAACACATGCCAACTCCAAGTACAGAATGATGATCCCTATTATGCCTTTTTCGAGTCTCTCAGCACGCCTGCAGCGTAGCTCCTTCCCTCGTTTGTCAGGGATGCCGCTGCGACTTCTAAGAAGCAATGATCCCCTTAAAATGGGGGAACGGCCCACTTTCAGTGGACTGAGCCTGTCTTCATCCTCAGGGGTTGAAGAAGCCGCTGATGTTGGCGAACAAGGATGCAATGCCAAACACAGTAATTCCGATGATGTAGGTGTCCGGAGTCATGTCGCCCAGTGCGCCGTCAGCGCCACCTCGTGCCTCCATCTGAACTGCTGGCGCGCGGAGAGACTTGCTTGCAGGTGCTGGAGTTGTGCCCACGAAGCAAAGCATCGCAGAGCAGCCAAGGGCCAACACCAAGAAGGCGAGCAAAGAGCTGGAGCGGGCCATTGCAAATCTTGGGAAAGCTGGCACAGGAGAAGGAGCGACCACCAACAACTATATGCGGCTCAAGCTGAAAGTGGCCGACGCGTGGGCATGCCCGTAGCTGCTGCGATCACTGCATGACTGCGCCTACTGGCCAACACATGCCAACTCCAAGTACAGAATGATGATCCCTATTATGCCTTTTTCGAGTCTCTCAGCACGCCTGCAGCGTAGCTCCTTCCCTCGTTTGTCAGGGATGCCGCTGCGACTTCTAAGAAGCAATGATCCCCTTAAAATGGGGGAACGGCCCACGTTCAGTGGACTGAGCCTGTCTTCATCCTCAAGGGTTGAAGAAGCCGCTGATGTTGGCGAACAAGGATGCAATGCCAAACACAGTAATTCCGATAATGTAGGTGTCCGGAGTCATGTCGCCCAGTGCGCCGTCAGCGCCACCTCGTGCCTCCATCTGAACTGCTGGCGCGCGGAGAGACTTGCTTGCAGGTGCTGGAGTTGTGCCCACGAAGCAAAGCATCGCAGAGCAGCCAAGGGCCAACACCAAGAAGGCGAGCAAAGAGCTGGAGCGGGCCATTGCAAATCTTGGGAAAGCTGGCACAGGAGAAGGAGCGACCACCAACAACTATATGCGGCTCAAGCTGAAAGTGGCCGACGCGTGGGCATGCCCCGTAGCTGCTGCGATCACTGCATGACTGCGCCTACTGGCCAACACATGCCAACTCCAAGTACAGAATGATGATCCCTATTATGCCTTTTTCGAGTCTCTCAGCACCTGCAGCGTAGCTCCTTCCCTCGTTTGTCAGGGATGCCGCTGCGACTTCTAAGAAGCAATGATCCCCTTAAAATGGGGGAACGGCCCACTTTCAGTGGACTGAGCCTGTCTTCATCCTCAGGGGTTGAAGAAGCCGCTGATGTTGGCGAACAAGGATGCAATGCCAAACACAGTAATTCCGATGATGTAGGTGTCCGGAGTCATGTCGCCCAGTGCGCCGTCAGCGCCACCTCGTGCCTCCATCTGAACTGCTGGCGCGCGGAGAGACTTGCTTGCAGGTGCTGGAGTTGTGCCCACGAAGCAAAGCATCGCAGAGCAGCCAAGGGCCAACACCAAGAAGGCGAGCAAAGAGCTGGAGCGGGCCATTGCAAATCTTGGGAAAGCTGGCACAGGAGAAGGAGCGACCACCAACAACTATATGCGGCTCAAGCTGAAAGTGGCCGACGCGTGGGCATGCCCGTAGCTGCTGCGATCACTGCATGACTGCGCCTACTGGCCAACACATGCCAACTCCAAGTACAGAATGATGATCCCTATTATGCCTTTTTCGAGTCTCTCAGCACCTGCAGCGTAGCTCCTTCCCTCGTTTGTCAGGGATGCCGCTGCGACTTCTAAGAAGCAATGTTCCCCTTAAAATGGGGGAGCGGCCCACTTTCAGTGGACTGAGCCTGTCTTCATCCTCAAGGGTTGAAGAAGCCGCTGATGTTGGCGAACAAGGATGCAATGCCAAACACAGTAATTCCGATAATGTAGGTGTCCGGAGTCATGTCGCCCAGTGCGCCGTCAGCGCCACCTCGTGCCTCCATCTGAACTGCTGGCGCGCGGAGAGACTTGCCTGCAGGTGCTGGAGTTGTGCCCACGAAGCAAAGCATCGCAGAGCAGCCAAGGGCCAACACCAAGAAGGCGAGCAAAGAGCTGGAGCGGGCCATTGCAAATCTTGGGAAAGCTGGCACAGGAGAAGGAGCGACCACCAACAACTATATGCGGCTCAAGCTGAAAGTGGCCGACGCGTGGGCATGCCCCGTAGCTGCTGCGATCACTGCATGACTGCGCCTACTGGCCAACACCAAATACAGCATGAAGTTGACTCTTCGAGCCTTTTGGGACGCCTGCAGCAGAGCTGTTTCCGTCCCCTGCGCCAGAAGAGCTCAAGCCTTGGCGCTTGCGGATTTTGGAGGTCTTGAGGGTTTAAAGGTCTTGAAGATCACGTGCCCTGAACCCAGCAACCCCGAAACAGAAGTGAAGCTGAGCAGGAACCTGGGAAAGGGGAAATGATAGGAAGAAAGATGCAACGACAGAGAGGCAGGGTCTTGGGGCTTCGGATGTTCCTGGGGTAAGTTTGGAACCCAAACCCCAAGCCCTCGTTGGGATTGCGGGGGGGTCTGGGCCCAGATCTTCCAAGACCCCTTAATTAAGGAATATACCCCTCACCTATACTCAGGATCCTTATCAGGGATACACCCCTCATTTATACTCAGGATCCTTATTCTGAATTGAGGTTAACATTCCTTTAGTTAGGGGGTTTTGGGAAGATCTGGGTACCCATAAACCCTAAACCCTAAACCCTAAACCCCAAACCCCAAACCCTAAGCTTGAGAGGTTCGGCCTCCTGCCCGCCGACCGCCAGATTCAGCTCATCGAGCCTGGCGCTGTCAGAGCCAGGAAAAGGGAAAAGGGAAAAGGGGTTTAGGGTTGTTAGGGTTTATGGTTTAGGGTTTAGCATCAGGGTTCAGGAGTTTAAGGGTTTAGCAAAGCTTGAGTATAGGTTTTTCACGTGGGAAGTTACCAGTAGGGCTAGAACTACGTCAGATTCAGCTGTCACAAACCCCAAACCCTAAACCGAACAACCCTAAACCCTAAACCCTGAACCCTAAACCCTAAACCCTCTCCCCCTAAACCCCTAAACTCCTGGACTCCAAATCCCGAACCGGGCCGTGCAATGAAGGCCGCCAAGACAAACTTCCTCTGCTGCTGCTCCCACGATTTAGGGCTTTCAGGGCTTTTTCGGGTTTTGTAAGGCTGTTGAGCTTGAACCCTAAACCCTAAACCCTAAACCCTAGTGGGGTTTGGGTGGCGGGGCTCGGGGGTGATGGGATTCACGGATATAGGGTTTTTTGCAGGGATATCTAGGGATATCCTAAGCCCTAAGCCCCAAACCCTCAGCCCTAAAGCCCTGAAGCCCTAAACCCCAAAATCCCAACCCCCAGACCCTCACCGCAGCTCAAGACCCCAAACCCAAACCGGAGCTGAAGTGGGATTCAGGGCTGCGGGAGGCCCGAACCCGGCTTTTAGAGATTCGAGGGGTTTCGAGGGGTTTCGGGTTTAGAGTTTCGGGTTTAGGGTTTAGGGTTTAGGGTTTAGGGTTTAGGGTTGGTCTAAGGGTTGTTGGCTGAGGGTGTCGGTGTGGCGGGCTTTGCGCACTCAGGTTCAGGGAACCCAGGACGATTGCGCCCAGCAGTCCACAGGCCGGGCTTGCGAGCATGTCATGTGCCACCAGCCGGATGGTAGAACCACCATCTGCGCCCAGGGGCAGATGTTTGGGGCGGCATTTTGGGGCCTGCAGTAAGGTTTTTAGGGGGTGCTTGATAGGAGGTGATAAAGGGCACTTCATGTGTTCTGTTGAGCTGGAGGCTTCAGTACTTCTCGCGAATCCAAGAGTCGCGGTGCCCCAAACCCAAAACCCCAACCCGAAGCCCAACACAAGCAAGCCCTTAAACCCTGAACCCTGCAGTCCCCCCAAACCCTCCGCAACTCCGTAAACCCACACCCACAACCCCAACCCTCCGGACCCGTGGAGCCCTAAACAACACTTACATTCCCCCGCTGCTCTAGGTGGCTTTAATCACCCAGAACAAAGGTAACCCAACGCCAATCCCTAAAAACCCAAAACCCCGAAACCCCAAAACCCCAAAACCCTAAAACCCCAAACCCCAAAAACCCAAACCTAAACCCCAAACCCCCAAACTCCCCAAACCCAACCCAAACCCCCAAACCCCTAAACCCTAAAGCCCAGGTCTCGGCCGCCCCGCTTCGCCCGACTGCTGCACGCAGCGGCGGGTGCCAGGCGGCGCGCGGGCCTTGCCGAGGTTTGGGGTTTGGGGTGTAGGGCCCTAAACCCTAAACCCTAAACCCTAAACCCTAAACCCTAAACCCTAAACCCTAAACCCTAAACCCTACTTCTAGTTCGCGCGCTTTAGGGGGACGGGATCGGGACTCCTGGCCTCGTCCAAGAGCCAGGCGCAAGGCCAGCCGCCCTCCTCCCTGTCCATGGCCTGGCTCTCTTAAGCTTAGGGTTTAGGGTATCAGGTTTAGGGTTTGGTTTAGGAGTTCAGGCTTCAGGGTTTAGGGGCGAAATAAGACCAATGATTGTTCAGGGTTTGGGGTTTTCTGGTGTTTGGGGGTTTGGGGGGGTTTGGGGTGCCAGGGGGCTGAAACCCCAGTCGTATCGTAACCCCAACCCCCCCCGGAAGGGCCATGATTTTGATATTAGAACGCCAAAACCCGCACCCCGACGCGAAGCGCCCGTTTTCTTCATTCCGACATCTGGGTCAGCGGCCTGGCCTTAAACCTTAGGCATTAAACCCTGGCCTTGTACGGGAAAACGGGGCGCCCCTCCGAGTTGCTCTCTGCGGGCTCGGCAGACGGGGGAGCCGCCCACCAGACCTGCGTGGATTCGGGGGTTTCGGGGTGTTAGGGGGGTTTCGGGGGGGGTTTAGGAGGTTTAGGGGGTTTAGGGTAAGGGGTTTCGGTGAGGGGGGAGGTTTTGGGGAGGTTTAGAGGCTGTTGGGCTTTAGGGTTTGGGAGGTTGGGGGTTAGGGTTTAGAGGTTTATTGAGGGCTCACGGTTTACGGTGCAACGGGATGAGGAAGCCGAGTGGAGTCATTGAGCTGTCTTCCTTGGAGGGGAGGTCGGAGGATGCCGAGCCCCTCAAAGCGCCTACTGGAAGGATCACGGAACTTCTGAGTAGAGTAACTGAATTTGTTGAAGATCGTTCATCAAAAAGGGTTGACGGCTCGCAGCCTTTCACGTCTAAGGGCTTGGGCGAGGCCTGAAAACTCTTCAAACCTCTCAACGAACACGTGTCCGGCCTTTCGCCCGATGAGCGAGACCAGCCATGCCTCTTTGTGCCGATGCATACCTCTCGGCTACAAGACTGCACACCCTTCCTGAGATTTTAGGGGCCAACCCCTGCACCCCCTCCCCACCCCCCAGGGCAGGGGAGGGGTGTGTACAAGATTTGAATTTGGCAGGGCTTTCAAGTTTCAGGGCGCCCTCGGCCGAACTGCCCCCAAAATCACGCGGCACAAATACTTTCAAACAAAAGAAGTCGGGGTAAACGCGCGCCAGTCTGCAGACGGCGACACGCCATGGTCAACAAGGCTGAAAATTGGTGTGCTGCACATGCAGTGGTCGGATAGCAACTCCACTCATCCACTTTCAACGCCGAAAACGATGAGTTGGCTGGGGTCCGCGCTCTCTTGCAGACTAAACTCGCCCTGAACCGGACCCGCATTATAAAGGCTAACTTTCACGGCCCATCACAAAAAGATACAAAAAGTGACCAGCAAACATACGCTCCAAAACGGGCTAGCAACCCTGCTTTGTTGCGAGCTCAGAGGGCTGCAAAGCCGCAAACTGCTTACTGTTGGCTAGTCGGGAAGGAGGGAATGAGGTGCCCAATATCATCCCTTAAAGGCTATATGAGGTACCCGATATGATCCCTTAAAGGGTATATTTCGGGACTCTGTAGGGTACCCCATTCCCTCAGTCCCTACTAACCAACAGTAAGACTAAGAGCCGCTCCATGGCCAGCAGCTAAGCCGTCCATGGCAAAGATCCTCAGGCTGCGAAGTGCCGTCGGCTTTCTGGTTTAGGGTCTAGGGTTTAGGGCTTAGGGCTTAGGGTTTAGGGTTTAGGGTTTAGGGTTTAGGGTTTCGGGTTTAGGGTTTAGGGTTAGGGTTTAGGGTTTAGAGTTCCGTGTCTGCATCTCATCTGGGTGGTTGTCGAAGTTCTGATCCCTCTTGGGGTACCCTAAATAGAAGGTGCCGTATTCTAACAGGCCAAAAAGATTGGACAACCACCCATGTGGTAGACTGTACAGCTAGTAGGCAAGGTATCTACCAATGAACAATTAAGTAGAAGCCGTTGCTTTCCGTATAAGTTTTGAGGTCTGTGGCTTCGGGCCTAATGCCGAAACAGCAAACCATAAAACCCCGAATACTGAAGCCCTTCGGGACTACAACCTTTCAAGGTACTCAACACGGACACGAACACGAACACAAACACAAATGCAAACACAAACGCAAGCACGCAGAGACAGAGACACGGACAGAGACACAGACAGAGACAGAGACAGAGACGGAGACCGAGACCGAGACAGAGACAGGACATACAGACAGCCCTGAACCCTGCTTGGAGGTTGAGGGTACTGCTATAAGCGTATTCAGGGTACTCACTTCCCCACTTGTGACTGCCCAGAACCCTATACCCTAAACCTCCAAGTACCCCCAATTAGGGTTTAGGGTTTAGGGTTTAGGGTTTAGGGCTTCAAGAAGCTCTACTGCGCCAGGCCACCGCAAGGGCGTTTTCAACGGCGCCGGTGGGGCGTAGACCTCGGCCATGGCCTCCATGACGATTTGGTCACTTCTCAAAAGGGTTTAGGGTTTAGGGTGTGGGGTTTCAGGTTTCAGGGTTTAGGGTGGAACGGGTTTTAGGGCTTCAGGGCCCAGAGTGCACGGATTGGGCTGTAAGGTTCAGGGTCGGAGCGGCCTAACTTCTGTCCTTCTACACACCCGATGGCCGAGCCCTAACCCTAAAGCCCTGAACCGTAAACCCTGCGCAACGAAGTCGCACTGTGTCTTCAGTACCACTTCTTCTCCATGACACATCATGGACTGTCCACTCTGGGAAGTCGCAACAACATTCTCAGACGCAAACCCTGAACAAACTCAGATGTGGGTTGATAAAGAAATCACCATCTCACTCGATGAAGCTTTCAATATCCAACAAGGATCCCGCTCCAACAAAACCAAGGAACAGATTTCTGAACCAGCGTACAACCTGAAAACCCCCTAACCCCTAAACCCCAAACCAAGGCCCCCAAAGGGCCTCGTCGAAAAACTTCCGCCGCCGCGTTCGGCGATCCGAAGCAGACTGTGCTAAGGGGGGTTTCGGGTGTAGAGGGTTTAGGCTTGCACACTTTGCACTTCAAAGAGTACTGGGGTTTAGGGTTTACGGTTTAGGGCTTAGGGTTTAGGGCTTAGGGTTTAGGGTCTAGGGGGCTTAAAGGGCGCAAGGACGACACCTTGGTCTAGGGCCTGGGCGAAGTGACCAACCGTTTTAGCTTCGGCGTCTAGCATAGCCCTGATCCGCCAAACCCCTATACCCCAAACCTCTAAGCCTAATTAAACTCCTCTGAGCTCGTTCAGTCCCCTGCTAAGAACCATTCGAAGGATAGACGCCCTAAACCCTAAACCCCAAGCCCTAAACCCTAAACTCTGCCCAACGGTCACTACTAAGACCGAAGAAGCAAAGCCACAGTCCTGAATTTTGCGGGGGGGGGTCTCCCAGGGAAGAGTGATGCAGGGTTTAGGGTTTAGGGCTTAGGGTTTAGGGTTTAGGGTTTAGGGTTTAGGGTTTAGGGTTTCGGGTTTAGGGTTTAGGGTTTGGGGCTTAGGGCTTAGGGTTTAGGGTTTAGTGTTTAGGGTTTCGGGTTTCGGGTTTAGGGTTTAGGGTTTAGTTGTTCGGGTTTAGGGTTTAGGGTTCAGGGTCGAGGGGCTTAAGAGGGTGGAGGAACAAAATAAACACACACACACACACACACACTGGCGAACCTTTTTGGGGTCTGCTTCAGGAGGCCTCTAGAAATTTGGGCTTAGGGTTTTAGGGTTTAGGGTTGGAGGCCAGAACGGCCCCCAAGCTTCGCGAAATTCTGTCAACTGAACATTGCGCCTCTGCACGAAACCCGAAACCCGAAACTCTTCCAGTCGATTCTTTCACTCGTACACTGCACACGCAACACGGGGGCGGGGTGTTCCGAACTAGTCCGCCATTGAAGGCTCCTTGTCATCACAGCAGGACTCCCCCCAGAAGAACCCGAGTACCCAAGATCCTATACACTGAACTCTTGAACCCCTAAACTCTTCAACACTCATCAGACCCTAAACCCTAAACCCTAAACCCTAAACCCTAAACCCTAAACCTTAAACCCGCATTGTTTCCTCTTCGCGAAGCCGCCACGGAAGGGGTTCAGAGCCTGGCTTGCACCGGCGCGTCCGCCGCAGTGACTTCGTAGTCCTCCCGGAGGCCCGGTGCATTGTAGAGGCCTGGGTGTCGGGCTTAGCTCTTCCGCAAGGGGATTTAGGTTTAGGCCTATAGGCTTTCGGGTTTTTGAGGGATTACAAAAAGGGAATCCGGTCCTAAAAGACCGAGGCATCCTGCACCTCCAGACGAAAACTTGAAGAAAACACCACCCACCCACCCCCCAGACCCTAAACCCTAAACCCTAAACCCCTAACCCCTAACCCCTAAACCCTAAACCCTAAACCCTAAACCCTAAACCCTAAACTGCAACTGCGAGGCATGTAAAGAAGTCGTACGTCGTACGAGGCCACAGGGCAATGATATCCCCAGTCTCTGCCTGATACCAGCTGCTGCATCTGCTCCACACCTTGCGCAGGGCTGCAGAATTGTGGTTGAGGGTTCAGGGCTCAGGCCCTAAACCCTAAACCCTAAACCCTAAACCCTAAACCCTAAACATCCCAGGGCTTGGGACTAATGACTAAGAGCGCCACCCCTTATGCTCACCCCTCCATGTTCGACACCTGACTTCAGCACCTCTGAGAGCTCGGAGTGGGGCCCAGTCGGGCATCTCCACAAAATAGGGGTTTAGGGTTTGGGGTTTGGGATGGTTTGGGGTTTCGGGGGTTTGGGGTTTCGGGGGTTTGGGGTTTAGGGTTTCGGGGTTTAGGCTTCAGGGTTTAGGGTTTAGGGTTTATCCCCCCCCCCCAATACCATGAACGTGATGTCTCGGAACCTTGAGTGGGGGAGGCAGTTGAACCGGGCGCGCCTTGTCTGTAAACTGCTCCTGCACCCAGCGATTGTAATCCTGAAGCACCCTCGGCTTCACGGCAAAAGAGTCGATGTCGTGGTCCAGAGCTTCCTTCAAAAGCCGTAGGGCATAGTCTGCCTGGGCCTCCGCCATAAGCAAAACCGAGTTGTGGCCCAAGACTGAGTTTGGCCCAAGAATCACAAAGGTATTCGGGAGATGTTGCATGGAGGTGCCAAGATAGGCCTGGTGCCCCTGCCGCCAGGCGGAATTTCCGGTCCAGGAAAATCCCCCAGTGCCGACAAGCTGCACATCCTCCCCAACGGACCCGATATCGAAGCCGGTTCCGAAGATCAGTATGTCTGCCTGGTGCTTGGTGCCCAGTGTGTCGACGACGCCATCCTCCTGAACCTCGGCAAGCCCGGCCACAACCACATCGACGTTGGGCCTGCGGAGGCTGTCCAGGTAGACATCCGACTTGCAGATGCGCTTGCACCCGAGCGGGTATGTGGGAATGACCTTGTCCCTCAGCTCTTTGCGCCCCCGAAAGTGGGAGGCCATGTACCCCCGACCCTGCGCGTGCAGGAGCCTGCTGCGTGGGTTATCACGTGCGTCGAAGAGCCCCCCAAAGCTCATTGCAAGCTCCTGCTTCCAATATAGGGTTGCACGGTAGGCTGCACGAGCCAGCGGTATGTTCCGATAGGTCCACTTGAGGTTCTCCGGATAATAGCGTGCAGGCAGGAGCCACTCCCCCCTTCCGAACACCCAGTTGGGCGTGCGCTGCAGCAAGACCAGCCGCTGCGCCTGCTCTGCCACTTCGGGCACGAACTGGACAGCACTTGCACCGCTGCCCACCACAACCACCTTTTTTCCGGAGAAGTCTGTCGCGTGATCCCACTCGGCGGAGTGGAACATCGTGCCCTTGAAGCTCTCCTTCCCAGGCACGTCGGGAATCTGTGGGTAGTGCAATGCACCAACACAGCTGAAGAGGAACCGCGGTTGGAGCACTTCACCCGACTCCAGTGCAACACGCCAGCGTCGCAGCTGCGGCACCCACATAGCTCGCTTGAGCCGGGTGCGCAGGCGGGTGCGTGGAGCTAGGTCATACTTCTCGTAGACTCGCTTGATGTAGGCGTGAATCTCCTCAGCTGCCGCGTACGCCTCGGACCAGTCTGGGTTGGGCTCAAAGGAGTAGCTGTAGAGGTGTGCCGGCACGTCACAGGCGCACCCAGGGTATCGATTCAGCAACCACGTCCCCCCAACATCTTCTTCCTTGTCGATAATCGTGAAGGGGATGCCAGATTCTTTCAACTTGATTCCGATGAGCAAACCCGAAAAGCCGGCACCCAGAACGAGGACGTCTCCCTCCGCCAGCTTGGCGCCGTAGTGGCTCCGACGAAGATTCCCCACGCGGCTGCGCAGGAAGCTCAGCGTCGCCCGGAGCTTTGCCGAGGCAGACAGCGACGGCTCCGAAGGTGTGTCCGGCTCCATGGGCGGTAGTGCGTGGTTGAACCCACAACAGGCCGAGCCCTGAAGACTTCGGGTCGAAGCCAAAGCCCCCTGAAGCCCCTGAAAGGCCCAGTGCCCTCAGACAGCATCCCGGTCTGGTTTCCAGCGCACTTAGCCCCCCTGAACCTGCCGCCTCTGCGTCGTTCAGGTCGTCCCGCAGGAAAACGAAGATGTTGCGCTTGGTGGCGGCCCGAATCTCAAGGTACCTGCGGGTGAGAGCGGAGGATGTATGAGGCACCGGCCTGAACGCGCGCGAAAAATCATCGCAAGCCCCTCAGGCCTGACATGCGCCAATCGTCAAAAAGCTCAAAAGCCTTGACGCCCACGAAGCTCTAGTCCCGGGTTCGAGATAACCACACCCTCCTAGACCCTGAGCCCCCCCTAAACCCTAAACCCTAAACCCTTAACCCTAAACCCTCAACCCTAAACCCTTAAACCCGAAACTTAGACTTCGAAACCTCTACCGCGCTTGCTGCCGCGTGCCACCCTCAGCTGGGGCTCCAGACTCTTCAAACGAGGCTTCCACGGGAGCCTGATGTTCAGGGATTAGGGTTTAGGGTTTAGGGCTTAGGGCTTAGGGTTTAGGGTTTAGGGTTTAGGGTTTAGGGTTCAGGGCTTAGGGTTTAGGGTTTAGGGTCCCGAAACCCTAAACCAGGGTCTCGAGCTTTAGCAGTTTCGGGTTTTAGGGGTTGGTTTTCAAGGTCTTCAGGTTTCTAAGCATTGGGCTTTCAAGGCAGTCTGGAATTCAGAGTTCAGGGGTCCACCTGGGAAACATTTGGGCAAGGAACTCAAGGACATTTTCCTGATTCCTGCTCTCAATGCATATGAAGTAGGGTTTATATTCCTTGCATCCCCGGAAGGACAACCCATATAGACACTCATCAGCATTAAAAAGGAACCTTATATACACTCACCAACAATAAACCCTATTTCATATAGGTGTTAGGGTTTCGGGTTCGAGGGTCATTCCTTCGCATGGTAGCCACAGACGCCAGTGACTTCTCATAAACAACAGACTGGCAAACTCCACGGGGGGCTGCTCTGATGGCAACGTCTATTGGCTACAACTGGCTTTGGTAGGGTAGAGTGTCGTGCAGTTACATCTGGCTTGAGCAGTACGCCCTAAACATTCCGAAACCCTGAACCCTAAGCCCTACTTCTGGTTTGCTCCCAATAGGTCCCTCTGAAAGGAGGGACCATCGGGAAAAGGGCTCCTTCAAAACATCTGACTGACTGTCATTTGGGGAACAGGTCTCCTGAGCAACCGCCCCCCATAATCCGAACATCAGTTTAATTATTACACTCCCATTTAACGAACATCTTTTCGTCGAGAAGCCCGCCGAAAGACTACTTTCCATTACTGGGGTTTTCGTATGGGCCAATACCGGGGGTTCTAAATCTGTCGGCAGGCTTCTTTTTAAAAACGAGAACCAATACATGCCCATGGTCTTATTATTGCGGCGCCCTGCCTTTCTTATTGCCTTGGGGGGGGGGGGGGGGGAACCAGTTAAACAGATGCTCCGATTAAACCCTGAACCTCAAGCCGCCACGAATCTTCACAACCCTAAACCCTAAACACTAAACCCTCAACCCTAAACTCTGAAGCTCAAACTGGTCGTGGGCAGAAGCCTCAGCCAACTTGCCGCTCCGGCTGACGAGGGACAGCCAGCAGTCTCGCCTGGCGTTCGTGCGAAGCGTCGGCTTGTCGGCTCGAAATGTGTGGGGTGCTACAGGGGCTCCCGAAACCCTTGGCCCTAAACCCTAAACCCCTAAACCCCTAAACCCCTAAACCCCTAAACCCCCGAAACCCCTAAACCCCTAAACCCTTAGCCTGAAACCCTAAACCCCTAAACCCCTAAACCCTAAACCCCATACCCCTAAACCCTTAGCCTTAAACCCTAAAACCCGAACCTTCGCTTTGTGTTTTTGGGGTGGAGGGAGGTGTCATGGCTTCAGGGTCTTACCAGGCCCTGGCCTCGACGAGGACGTAAAGGCAAGCCCGAGCCCCCTCAAGCCCCCAAACTTTTGAGGGTTTAGGGTTTAGGGTTTAGGGCTTAGGGTTTAGGGTTTAGGGTTTAGGGTTTAGGGTTTAGGGTTTAGGGTTTAGGGTTTAGGGTTTAGGGTACAGGGTTTAGGGTTTAGGGTAATTTAGGGTCTCCCGACGCCCTGTCCCTCAGCAAACTTCGAGGTTCACAACCTTGGCTAATCAAGCAGAGCATCCACAGCTGTGGCCCTGATTCGTCGAGCATCCTTCAAAAGAGTCCCGGAAACCAAGAAACCCCAAACCCCTAACCACCTGCAAGCAGAAACACGGGCCGGAGGGGCAAGAACGTGCTCAAGGGCAAGCGCCAGTCCTCGGGCGACGGACAACCCTAAACCCTAAACCCTAAACCCTAAACCGGGTTCCGGAGTCACCATGATTTGTGTCTGATCGCTCTCCGCATCTTCGGCTGATAATCGGAGCTTCTCTAAGGGATGGTCCTTCTGGGAGTTCCTATTGAAAAAACTGGGAGCCGATGAAGATTTGGGGTTTAGGGTTTAGGGTTTAGGGTTTTTGGATTTTGGGATTTTTGGATTTTGGTAAGCGAAACCCTACAGTACACCCCGAAAGAGTAGGACTAACACAAGGACCCCCAGAAGGGTACCCGAGTTTCGGAGAGCCCCCAGGTGAATCTCACAGACTATCTTCATGCGGTGGGCCCTCAGCCATCAGAAACAGCCTGCAGCTGAAGTCCAAGTAGACTGCTCTGAATCCCATGCCACACTCCATTGTTGCACACACCCAGTGCCCGCCCCTCAGTGCGCCAAGCGCTTCAACCCGAGACCTTGACGAATCAGCAGTCCTTGAACCCTCAAACCCTTCAACCCAAAACCTCAAAGGCCTTAAAGTTAAAGCCTGCAACCCTTACTACCCTAAACCCTAAACTCTAAATCCTAAATCCTAAACCCTAAACCCTACACTCTAAATCCTAAACGCGTAGTTCAATCCACCCAAAGCCCGAAGAACTGCGCCAGCGCGTTGAGGCCCCGTCTCGAAACTTTGCGAGAAAGTCGTCAGGCCCTCGGGCTCCCAAGACCAGGGGGTTTTCTTGCTTTTGGGTTTAAGGTTTGGGGTTTAGGGTTTAGGGTTTAGGGCTTAGGGTTTAGGGCTTAGGGTTTAGGGCTTAGGGTTTAGGGTTTAGGGTTTAGGGTTTAGGGTTTAGGGTTTAGGGTTTAGGGTTTAGGGTTTAGGGTTTAGGGTTTAGGGTTTAGGGTGGGGCTCTGACTTATTCTGACTTTGGAGTCTAGCATCCAGGGGCTTAAAAGCCGGAACCCTCAACCTAAGCCAACCCAACAGCGCGAAATCCTGAACCCGTAAATATGAACTCCAACCCATGTAAAGCTGTCAAGGAAGACACGAGGCCCAGGGCTCGGGTTTAGGTTTTAGGGGTCAGGCTTAGGGTCATGGATACCGGCCACAGTTAAGGGTTTAGAGGGTTGAGGGTTGAGGGTGGAGGGTTTAGGGTTTAGGGTTTAGGGTTTAGGGTTTAGGGTTTAGGGTTTAGGGTTTAGGGTTTAGGGTTTAGGGTTTAGGGCCACCGTTCAGGAGAGCTTGCCACGTGGCATCCTCGGAAGTGAGGCTTAGAGGTTTTTGCGGGGCCCCTAAACCTCAAACCCTAAACCCCTAAACCCTGAACCCTAAAGCCTAAACCCTAAACCCTAAACCCTAAACCCAAAACCCTAAACCCTAAACCCTAAACCCTAAACCCTAAAACCCTAAACCCTAAACCCTAAACCCTAACCCCTAAACCCTAAACCCTAAACCCCTAAACCTAAACCAATCAACCCTAAACCCTGAACCTAAACCCCCAAACCCCGTAAACCCCCCAGAACCTCCGACCCCCTCGAGCCGCAAGCCGTCTCGTCGACCTGAGGGTCGGGCCGAAGCGGCCGGCCGGCCAGCCTGGGTTGAGGGGTTGAGGGGCTGAGGGGGGATTTAGGAGTTTAGGGGTTTGGGGGTTTAGGGGTTTAGGGGTTTAGGGGTTTAGGGGTTTAGGGGTTTAGGGGTTTCTTGGGGGTTTTGGGTTTAGGGGTTTAGGGGTTCAGGGGTTTAGGGGCTTAGGGGCTTAGGGGCTTAGGGGCTTCGGGGCTTAGGGGTTTAGGGGCTTGGGGGCTTAGGGGCTTAGGGGCTTCGGGCCTTAGGGGCTTACGGTGCTACTGTTTTGGGTTCTGAGTTTTGGGTGTCCGGGCGAGTTGGGTGGGTGTGGGGTGTCTTTTGCTTGATGCTTGCTTCTGGCCTTTCTCCGGGTCTCGGGTTGTGGTTGGCCTGCTTGGTGGCTCATGGGTAGTCTTAAAGTAGGGCTAGTAACACTTTCTTTGGGAATTTCTTGCCCACTTCTTAGTATACCGACCTCCGAGGCAGCCCCGAAGCCTTAGACTCTGGTCTTGTCCAGCTTCTCAGATTGTTGCAGAGTTTAGGGTTTAGGGTTTAGGGTTTAGGGTTTAGGGTTTAGGGTTTAGGGTTTAGGGTTTAGGGTTTAGGGTTCAGGCGCACTCCACTTCTGTGAGCCCCGTCCCGCCCGCAAGGACCCTCGTGCTGGAGGGGAGGGGGGAGGGGGCGGGGGCGGGGAGGGGGGCCAAGGCCAGTGGGAATATGTAACATATCATGTATTGCTGTAGAAATCAGTTCCTAACAGGGCAACCCTGCAGGGCGCCCCCGACAGACGAATGTACCCCAGTTCTTGGACGGCAACAAAAGAAGTAGGTACCTTATATGTCTTATATCCCGCTCTATCTATCTATCTATCTATCTATCCATCTATCTCTCTCTCGATATATATACAAACATATATATATATATATATGTGTGTATGTCTATATACACATATATATATATGCAGATTATCGTGAACGGACTATATAGGCTGCCTCGTTCCCTCATTCCCTGCTAAGAGCCGTTGGGTCCGCAGGTTCCGCGACCCGGGACCCGGCCTGCTGTGACG